TACGGCTACATTTCCAGATGGCGACTCCCCCAGGGAGGCAGAGTAGTTGCTATTTACAGACAAATCAAGATCCACAGTGGGTGGATCCCCAAGAGGAGGCAGAGATGATAGGCTATGTGACATGTCCATATCAGCCATGGAGAAAAAGACGTCCTCTGTCCAAACAAGAAATAAATGAAACATGTATTCAGCGATTCAAAAACAGAATGTAGAATTAAAATATATGTCGTACTGAACTAACCTCTACTGGACACCGTTCTGGTGGTCTGGCTTTCAAACAGGTCCTGGTCATTGGCAACTGTTATGGTGTCTTTCTTCAGGCAGCGGTTGAGCTCCATGTGGAGGCGATACTCATCCTCCTGCTGCATGGGCCGACTCTTCCTATCCTTTCCTATAGCAGACCACTCCTGTCCGGCTGTATATAAAGAATTTAATAGAAGCAATTGTCATATTCACTGGAAACCATTTATCGCCGACTTTATTTAATGAGGAAACCTTAAGGGAAAATCATATATAAATAGAACAAATTGTCACCTGAGCTAGAGAAAACCCCAAACATGTCAAGTAGGAGGTGAACTTGTTGTGGTGAAAGCAGCATGATTAGAGAATCAAACTGCCCATCAATATCCAACTGTGAACAGACCAGTCATTACACTTTATTGTTAAAAATAAATAAATCATGCCTTTTTTGTTGTGACAAATCCATTCAGAAATACAGTCATCCTACAATGTACTTGGACAAATAACAGATAAATTTTGATTTTCAACCAGCTTTGCATTGTTTCAATGTAGTTAGTATATGAAAGCAAACAATGTGTACACTTTCTCCATGTTGCCTGCACCCAGATATCCCAGTTTATTTGTCAGAAAAAGTCAGCCAATATAAAGCAACACACATCAATTTGGGTTTTCTTAAAACTTGTTAAAGCTAAAGATTGAACTTCCACATTTGTTCCCACATTTTGTCGTATTGACAGGAGTGCGTGCCAAAATCACAAGTGCATTATGAGCGTTGACGTTTTGAGTGTATGAGTGCCAAACATAGTGGAATACATTCACTCAAGGAATTAGCATTTCAACAAAGGAAGGCAGGCTTATCTGAGCAATACCTTTATAGAAAGAAAGAATTAAAGCTACTGTATATTTGTAACTGTGTGGTACTGTATATGTACCCACCTTAGCTCCGGGCATGGCTTCATTTTGCTTCAGAACCACGGACAGCTCCAGTTTACCGCTAAGGCAGCCCACCTGCACTGGCTCAAACAGTGTACTGGAAGACACAGGTTCTGGGAACTGAGGGTGAGGCTCACAGATGATTTTTGGGTTCCAACTTGGCGAAAGCTTGGGTTCAGTCTCCTTTAACGTATAAAGTATATATGTCTTAGCGAGCTTTGCAATTGTACTCTAAACAGCAACAATTGTTTTTTTACTTCAATTTATTGCACTACTATAGGGTCAAGTTAGGCTAAGGTTGCACGACTATACTTACTATACTTGTGCAAGATGATTTTTAATTACAGCAGTACAGATACTTACTGTTTGAGTGGGGGATGATTTGAGGCCGGCACGTGCTGATTCTGAAAACTCATCCCAGAACACATAGGCACCTTCCAGTGTGAGGTTTTTATGTGCAAATGTAGTGGGCTGATGGATATTGACACTGGAGCCCTCCTCCACACTCTCATCAAAATAAACCATCCTAAATATCACAAAACGTACGGACAGCATGGTAATGATTCAAAAGAAAACATATCATATTGTAGTGTCAAAAATATTTAGTTACATCTCTAGAACTTACTTATTGATTCGGAGTTCAAGGGCAATGCCAGTTTTAGAATTTTCAGGAACGTGTTCCATCCGCAGAACAGTATCCACAAAAGTGACCTTGACTCTTCTCAACACTAACAGAGAGAACAGGGAAAAGATCAGTCACTGACAGGAAATCACTGAAAGACCAAATCTGATTTAACAATCAGGCAATCAATCAATCAGTCAATAAATAATTAAATCTTACATTAAATTGATTTTATGGTCTACAGGAAGAGGCATACCTGTCTCAATAGTCTCTGCAAACTTTTCCAGACCCTCTAGAGGTTGCAAGCTCTCTCCCTGATCATCAGTGAGTCTTTGGCTTAGACACTCTTTGGCCAGCTGCATACTGCTGGTCATGAAGCTGGACCAGCACATGGGCTCCATGCCTGATGCTAAAAAAAGATTGACAATGAACAAAAACAACATTAAATTCAACATCAAATGGAAAATCACCCTATGAATTTTCTATCTAAAGAAACAATGATATTATTGTGAACAATTAATATATATATATATATATATATATATATGTTTCCTGTTTTAATATTTGATTTTGTACTTTTTAATTGAAATGTAATAATCAGATCTCCCCTTTCTTCGAAACACTACAAGCTCACATTCAGATCTCCCTCTATCGAATCATCAAACGATGGATGGAACCAAGTCCCTGACAAAATTTTTTTTTCTTTTTCAATATTCTGTGTCACTCAGAAGTACATCACAAAACAAAATAAATTATCCGTCACTACTTTTTACATCTCAACTTTAAAGATGAACAAAGAAAAAGATATAGAATTATAAAATAATTTATTAAAATCACTAAAAAATTATTAGAAAAATATATCACTAAACTGATCAAATATATATTAGAGTAAACATTGTAAATTAGAATAAACACACACACTGTACATTTTAGAATGCACAGCACTGCAATTAAACATATCAAAATTATGGCATGTCATCTGAAAAAAATTACGATTTCAAAGATGTTTCCTACCCATTCGAGGTCTTGGCCTGAACACCATCTCCAAGCCCCTCACTTCCAGTGCGCAGTTGTCCTGCAGCAGTGAGGCCCATGGCACAGTGAGAGAAATGGCCTGGATGAAGCCCTCACTCACCTCAAATGGTGCATCCACAGACTCCAGGATCTCATTCAGGGACTGAAAATGCATGAAATATGAAAGTCACAGACATTAAACTGTGGATAAACATCTTTTTTGATTATTACTTGGGGATAGGTTGAAAATCCTATTAAGAAAACCACTCTCGGTTATATCCGGTAATGAAATGTCAGATTCCATTAGTGAAAGAATCCGATAAGAAATTTTTTATCAAATGTCAGTTTAATTATGTGTCCAGCTGGGTCAGGTGCATACTAGTATAATTTTGGAATCAAAAAAGGGTCAATAGCACAAAATCTACAGCACTTACCCATTTGTCCAGCGGCACTTGAGCAAGTGAGCCCGTGCCTTGATAGAGGTCCAGACTAAGCTGGTCCAAACTGAGCTTCTCCTGGAGGAAATTACCAAGATATCGATGCAGCAGGTACCTGCAGGCCCGCTTCTTAATAGACTCAGAAAATGGCCATGGCATCTTGACCGTCACTTGTGTTCAGTGTGTACTGAAACAAATTAGGACATTCAAGGCATTAAATGCCACATATACCCATCAGTGTTATTTTACTCAATCCAAGCAGTCCTTAGCCATCTTCAAAGAAATCTCTTCCTTGACCTTCTAACACTTGCACTCTTTATTCTATTTCTTTTTTTTTATCTACTCGTTTTCTTTTTATGTTTAAAAAAATACATGAACCTCTAACACTTGCACTCTCTATTCTATTTCTATTCCGTTTTCTTTTTTATATATTTATTTAAAAAACTTGACCCTCTAACATTTGCACTCTCGATTCTATTTCTATTCTACTACTTGTTTTCTTTTTATTTAAAAAAATGGACTAGCGTTCTCAATTCCATCTACTTGTTTTCTTTTTATTATAGAAAATGACAATCTAACACTAGCGTACTCTATTCTTTTGACTCGTTTTCTTTATATTTATTTAAAAAATGACCCTCTAACACTAGCGTTCTCTATTCTATCTACTTGTTTTATTTTTTGCGTAAGCTATATCAACAAAAATATATATATATATATATATATATATATATATATATATATATATATAATTTTTTTATTTTATTTTTTCAATTAACAAAAAAATGTCAAGTTCTTTATGGTTTTACTTTTAGAGTTAACGATAATAAGTCTGATTCCCCTTTAACATCAAGTTTGCATTAAGCTGGAACAGTACACATTAAAAACTTACATTATATAAAATACATGATACACACAAGTGCCATAAATCCTTGTGGAGCTGATTAAAAAAAGTGAACTTGACTCTGACATTGTTTTGCTGAAAGCACACCCACACAATTATTCAGTGAAGGGTTGTCGATGACAACGAGTCAGTATAAGTCCACATTCTGACTCTAGCTGACTAATGCAGACCTCCAACTGATGTGGCTGCCTGAACAAATCACATCTGCAAAACTCTGATGCAAAGGACTTCTAGAGCCTGAGAGTACTTTGGCAAACCCATCAACTGACAGCAAATGATTGGCATTAACTCAGCTATTTAATGTGTGTACTCTAGTACAGCATCAGAAAGCCTGGTTATGATGAGGTCGTTTAAAATTGCATGCAGTTGTGTTTATTTGTCTGACATGACTGACGTTGCTGTCTGGCCCATATCTATATATACAGTATAATGATAGCCACCAGTGTTTGCGCAATTCCCTAAAGATTGACGAGTTTGTTTGGCTGCTAACAATGCCAAATCATGGAGTCACACATCACAGCAGCCAAAAAGGGTTACAATTACATTACAATTCAGAATGAGAAAGGCAAATAGCTTACCTGTATTACAAAATAGCTGACTAACCGTTGTTCCTTGGCTTAGGGTGAACTAGCATGCTGGCTAAACACAATCCTTTGTACCTTCATTCAAGTGTGTCGGTTCAACTGATGCATCTCTCGGTAATAACAGCTATATTAAACTGAAGATGGGCGTCCTCGTGCGCATTATGAGTGGCTGTCGGCTCGTGTGAGAGCAGCATCTCTGTTTGTCTGCTTATAAGGCTAACGATGATGTTTACAAACACGCTCGTGACTACGCACTCTCTCTCTCTCGCGCCGCTCGACGCGCGGTGTGTTCACGAGCGTCCGCTCTGCGCAGCTGCGACACAGTCCTTCCACGCGGCTACAGGAGAGTGGTATTTTCGCTACAGACTGGAAGCATTTTTTTTATAAGAACAGTGAAATCGCTTTATTTATGGTAAGTAGGCTTAAATCACACGGTGTGACTGATTTAGCTGATGATCTGAAGTCAAGTCTTATATGAGTCTGTTTCTTTAAATCTGTGACTGATTTAGCTGATGATCTGAAGTCAAGTCTTATATGAGTCTGTGTCTTTAAATCTGTGATCTAATTCGTTTTTTTTATCATAAATAAATTTGAATAAGCACCTTGCCATTGTTTCGTTGGCGAGCTTTCTGAAGTTTGGGAATTGATGTTTATGGCATCAAATCCATTTGCTTGCGTGTTGAGTCCAGTAAAACATCCACTGGTGATTTTCAGTAGTAACACTTGTGGAGAAGCGCTTGAGTTAATGATATGATAACGAAAATAGTCAAATGTAATAAAGCTCTTAAACTGTATTCGGTCCTTTGGACTGTAACTACGCACTGGTGTTATTAGTGGAGAATGAAGAATTCTCTAGAAGCCTCAAGCTCGCACATCCACCCGCACAATTTGTTACGTAAGGAATTCATCTTCTAGCTTTGTATTCTCATATACAGCTAAATTACAGATTTAGATATTATTATTATTATTATATTTTTAAAAATATGTTTCCCCAATAAAATCATAGATACTGTAACGTTTGTCGAGGCGGATACGCAGAAGCTGCACTGCGCAACAACGGCGCATAATTGACACACTTGAGTCCTAGCCGGCATGAGCCGGAAGTGTTCTGGCGAACTACCCCCGGAGGAGGTTAGTAACTCATAAAATTATGATAATAAATAAATATGAAACGCTCCAGACTGTATCATATAACCTTGTTGTTTATGTGGTCATACAATTATTCTGTTATTATAACCGGGAGCTTGCGTTATATGGAACTTTCACGCTGCGAGAGCCTCGGTTGGCAGCGTTAGCTAACACTTTACAGATGTCCTTTATGCAAATGACTTCATACATTACACATTAAAATGTGTGTTAAATGGTTGTGTCTTACTAAAATGTTAAATAAAGTAAAGGTACTTCGTGACTGGTCAGTTAAGGAATTTGTCAGAGGTGCTCGCGCCCCCTCACGATCAGGTCAGATGTGTGTGAACATGCAGCTCGTCTCTGCGATGTGTTTGTCTGATGATCGATGAGCTGAAGGCTCGCTGGTGTTTCAGGGGATGGAGGTGGACTGTCAGCCGGAGGACCTGTCCAGGTGCTTGTATGAGGAGCGCTGTGTGGAGCTGGGGGAGGTGAAGGACATGAGGCTGGAGGCTGAGGCGGTGGTCAATGATGTGCTCTTCGCGGTCACAGACATGCAGGTCTCTCACAGTCTCTCCAGCGGACTGGATGTGGCCTACATAAACGTGGAGACCAGAGAGGGAAACCGATACTGCTTAGAGCTCACCGAGGCGGGGTTACGGGTGAGTGATGCCAAACATGTAAACCGGTTTTTCATTTTAAGACTGACAGTTTGATGTTTTCCTGAGGATGTGGATGGGGTCCGCTTTGGATCTACGCACCTTACAACCCCCTGGTGGTCTTCGGTCATTTTATTTAAAGCTGCAGTCCGTAGGTTTGGCCTCTTTGTCGCCCTCTCTGTTTGAAAACCTGCAATTGCAGCTGTGTGCATAATTATCTTCCTTGCGTGGGTTGTGCTCCGGCTCCAGAATCTAATGTTCTGAAGAGTATGTGTGGCAGTCAGTCACCGCACCGGTGTGGATATTTACTGTACTTCGCAATCACAGATTCTAGCCTACGTCTTGGAATATATAAGCATTCTCAAATAAGCATTTTCACCATTTACTGTACTTCGCAATCACAGATTCTAGCCTACGTCTTGGAATATATGACTCAAATAAGCATTTTCACCGAATATCGCCATCTGAACAAGTAACCAGTCTGCCACGTTTGTTCTGACCAACTGAGGAAAAGAGCATTACAATAAATCGCGCTACCAATGGTGATTTAGTGTAACGATCGGTTAGCTCGTATCACATCGAACCGTTCAAATTATTATTGTTTTATTCTCAAATGATTAATGTTAACAACATCAGCATTGCGTGACTATGAGTATAGTGTGTATTAGCGTGTAGATGTCAATTTCTGCACAGTCTAATCTCTAATTGTCCTACCATTCGAATTTCATATTAAGAAATTATTTTACCCAAAAAGCAAATTATGCTCCCGTCGAACTGGTTTTCTTTCAAATACAAATCTTGTGTAATCCCAGGCTATCTGTAATCAGAAGCACATTTAAAACTGGAATATAATTTCATTTCATTCACAGGTGTTTCATAAACACATAATCTTTTCTGGATTACAATCCGCCATCAAATTGATACATGTAATTATAGCTGCTGTGAGAAAAGGCTATAAACGATCCGCTGCCTGCAGGATCCTCACATGCGATAGTCTAGTAGCCGGGACAACTTCTTTATGTTTACTGACGTGACGTAATGACGCAGTGCCATGCTCGAATTTCCCACAGAAACCTACCTGTACCACTCAAATTAGAAAACATTATTATAAGCTAACCGTTGTGAATCGGGCTAAAGTAAGGCGATAGTTTTGAACACTGGCTGGTTATGTACTTGCTCAAATATTGATTTGGGATCATTTTTAACCAAAAAAAGTTACGGACTGCAGCTTTAACGTTAAGAGTGAGAAGTTTTACGTTTCTTCATATGAATGGTAAGAAAATTAGTGTGTGTGTGTGTCTATGCTTCTAACTCTGGTGGTCATTTTCTACCGAAATATTTTATGTTTTCACTTCATCAGAATGGTATGAAACTTTGACTTTTGTGGCACTTATTTGGAAAATATTTGAAAATGCTAAATGGTCTTTAAAAAATTGTTATAGTTCATGGTCATAATTGACCACCATAGGTAATAAATAGGTAATATGGCATATCCAAAAATATTGAACAATTTTTTTTGGAGTGCATTCTTCAAACCAGCCGTGATGTCTAAATATATATATATGCAAATGTAATGTCTAAATATATATTAATCAGCGTTGAATATTGTCTTTCTGACTCTCTGGTGTTCATTTTAGACCAAATAATGTAATGTTTTTATTATTCTTATTTTATTTTATTTACTTTATCAGAATTGTATGAAACTTGGTAAATTTGTGGCACTTGCTATATGAACAAACACACAAAGTGGAATTGATGAGAAAAGGCTGAGGTCTTTAAAAAAAACATCACACAGTTTGCTGTCAAAAATGATTGCTATAGGAAATGAATGGGAAATACAAAACATATTAAAATACAGAGCAACTTTTGGCAGTACAGTCTACAAATCACCCATAATTTATTCAGAGATCACCATGAAAATAGCCTTGATGCTGGCATGGCGTTACAAATAAATAAATCTACAAATCACCCTTAATGTAGTCGTTTTTGATTATCCACATGGAAAACCTAAAAAGTAAACAATTATGTTTGAAAATACTCTGAAAATAAGCAACCAGAGAATACACAGCCCTGTATTTATAGTTCTATTGATATGGCTATTGAGATATCTAGTGATTTCACCGTGGTTGTACATTGATTTTCTTTATTTCTCCCACTAATCTGTCTTCCATGCATTGGATTTTAATCAGTTATCAGTTGTAAATCAGAGGTGAATATTGTGTGGTACCATGAAATCCCCTTAAAATACACAATATTAAAGACTAAACATACTATGTTAATTTCATTAATAAAAACATACATTTCTTTGGTCTGTTTTGACCGCTGAGGATCACAAGTGTGACCTCTAAGTGAGGAATACCAGAGGAATCCGTGGAATGTTTCTGACCTTTCTGCTTCTTATCTTTGAGGTGGTGGGACACGGCTTCGATCAGGTGGATGAGGAGTTGAGCTCCCAGTATCATGAGACTGTTTACTCACTGCTGGATTCTCTCAGCCCCGGATACAGAGAAGCGTTTGGAAATGCTCTGCTACAGAGACTGGAGAGGCTCAAACAAAACGGACACTGAGGGCTTCAGTATCATTCAGAATATCTCCGCTCGCTAACAGTTCATCCAAGTCCTGTGCCGCTTCTCAGCTTAAAGCATCAGTGGTACCTTTTTCAGTTTTTAGCCTGTGATATGTTTTAACAGATCTTGGTGTTGATTTGACAAACTGACTTGCCTGTGATGTTTTAAAGTATTTTACCATTATTTGGAGAGGTATCATTGCTATGACAGACACAATGGGTCCAGATGAATACTCCATTTTTTTATTTACCATTTTGCAAATGAAATGACCCTCAGAAATAGCAGAGGACTATGGGAAAATGTTTGAACTAAAGTCTTTTGTGTTAACAACACGCTAGTGCTCTGGTTTTGGATGAACTGGGTCCTGCAAAATAGAGCTCCGTATTGTACTTGCATCAACTGTACAGCATGGCTCTTTAAAGTACTAACATTAAAAACATATCAGATGCCTTACTACTTTCATTCAAATTTCTAACAGTTCAGTTTTCTTTTGTTCCAATTTCAGTTAAACCTGTCCACAAGATAGTAATTTAGAAATCCTGATACATTCAGTATCTTCTCTTCCTTTAGTTTGCTACAGATCTTATCAGATCCTCTTTTTGAATGTGAAAATACATCTGTCAAAATCAGCAGAAAGGATTGAAAAGCCAAAACATGGTGGTGATATCCACTTCCAGCCCCAAAGTATTTTATTTAATTTTTTAAGAAAATGGAAACATTTGTCAGTTTCGTAAACCTGACTCAAGGATCGAAACCGATGCATTTTAGCTCTGAAACTTTATACTTTTACTACAAAAGAGTTGAGCAGAATCGTCTCCCCTGCAATTACATAACAGCAGCATGTTTGTGTGAATGCCAATGCTCGACTTATTGTTGTAAAGAAAAAGACATTTATTATGGTTAATGATAGTTCTATATCGGCAACAGCAAGCATATCATGTAATGTGTATTGCCCAATATCGGTGTTTTTAAAATATGTTTTTTTCAGGAAGAAAGATTTCATGTTATGTAGAATCCTTGATTGACTGGTCAAAACAAAATGCTTGATCTTGCACAGAATTGCACTAAATGAGATAAAGCAGCCATTTTTCTGACTTTGTTTGAAAGGGCTGCGTAAAAAAAAATGCTACAAAGTTACTTTCCATTTCAGTTTAGAACAGAAGGAAGAGATTCATTTAAATAAATGCATACAGAAGTTGTGGTATGATGGGTTTCTACCTCATGTTGGGTTTTTATGCTGACCTCTTCAGCATGCCTGTGAAATTGATGTGTGTTTCCAGCTGGTTTGGGATAAGGCAGGTGATAATAGTATGCTGTTTTGTGATAATAGGGTCAGTGAACAGAATCGGTCCTCTGGTTTTAGCAAATTCCTGTGAAACACAATACACTTCATATCAGTCCCAAACAAACGTCCTAATAATTTACAGAATGTTTGCTTAGATAACCAAGATGGAAAACGAGTAAGAGAGCGTTTAAATGACGTACAATGCACAAATAACTTCTGTACCTGAGGGAATGTTGCTTGCTTTTGTTTCCTTGTAATAAAAAGCACACATTCAAATGTTATTTTGGTTTCATGACTCAGTGTTGTAGCCAATAGTCATATTTTGCAGGAGCTTTAGAAATCATTTAAAGACAAAGGCGTCGTCGTCTCTTACAGCTGGTTTGATCATAATAAACTCACATATTGAAACACAACCGTAACCACCTGCCCTCAAACACACGACCTCTCAAAAGGAATATAAAAGTTGCTGCCTGAGAGAACAGAACTGAAACCGAAGCAGGAAGATACAGTGGACAGTTTCCTGTAATAGACAACATAAAAAAATAAACCTTTGTACTTTCTTGTAATCACACAACTTTGCAGCTTGACATTTATATAATGAATACACGAATATATAATTAACTAATGAATTAAAATAATTTTCTAGATGTTAATGAATAAAAAAATATATACACTACCATTCAAAAGTTTGGAGTCAAATCTCTTGACTCATCAAGGCTGCATTTATTTGATCAAAAATAGTCATTTGTGAAATAGTATTACAATTTAGAATACAATTGTTCTACTTTAATATATTATAAAATATAATTTATTTCTGTGGTGGCAAAGCTGAATGACAAAATAGAAATAATTTGTAACAGTAGAAGTCTTTACTATCACTTTATATCAATTACAAAAAAAAAACTTAACAGTGGTGTTATACGGTTACAAAAGGTTTCTATTTTAAATAAATGCTGTTCTTTTTAACACGCATCCAAAAAATGTTAAGCAGTTGTTTCTAGCACTGATCATTTCTGAAGGATCATGTGACACTGAAGACTGGAGTAACAGGAATACATTTTACTCTAGATTTAAAAAAGGAAATTATTTTAAATGACAATAATATTTTGCTATATTTACTGTATTTTTGGCCAAATAAATGCAGACTTGATGAGCGTAAGAGACTTCTTTTATATATATAAAAATCGTACTGATCCTAAGCTTTAACTGTAGCAGAGAGAGATAAATAAATAAACCTAAATTGTTTTCTAAAAGCTGTAGTACGCCAGTAGAAATATTTGAATTCTGCCTTCGTTTTACATCCTGGATAAAATCCTCAAACAAGAATAATAACAAAAATCATTGTTCACCATAAAAAAGTAGTTTATTTCATTCAGACAATTACATGTTAAATGTGGCCTTTTGCTTGTGGCCACATTTACAGATCGTTTAAGAAAATATGCTCATCTTTATTAAATATGCAGATTTAAAATGCAAGTAAAAAGTTCACAACCAATTGTTTAAAGAAGCTTTGATTAGACACATCCGAACACCAGCCACAAGTGCACACTTGATTGAATCACCGGCACTGACCACTGTTTGCTTGTCAGCATCTCGTTCTGGTGAATCATTACAATTTTAGAAACCAACTAGGATTAGGCAGCTTCTGTAGAGTGGCACTGTGTGCACAGTTAAAGACCATACATTAAAATGACAAATATGTCATGGTTAGAAAAGAAGTAGTAGAATAAATCATAAAATCTGCATCTACCAATCTAAAAGGTCCATAGAAAAAGGCACACATCCAGATGCCTCGGTTCTTAATTGCATCCCTTTGGAAGCGTTTTGACTTCACCGTTGGCCTTCAGTTCACAATCTGAACGGGGAACTTGATGCAAAATAAATCTTTGCTGGAGTCGTCTCTCAATTCCCATTCCACAACCAGTTTGATCTAATAAACAAACCAACAAGTAAGGAAGTGAATGCATGCAACATTACAGCATTGTTCAGAACTAAAGGTAGTGGAGGAAGATAACGCTTACTGCTGGATACTCGTTCTTGACAGGCAACTGGTTGACGTAGGTGTAAGCTTTTTGCGGCTCAATAGGACACTGGATTCCTGACTTGCACCCATCTGATTGAGGAATAGGGAAGGGGACGGGGATGCCAGCGACCACTCCGTGAACCACAGCTGTACTGGTCTGACTGGCAACACCTAGGAGATATATTAACAAGTTGGTGATTTCCTACATTTAGATCAGGTTTATTGGAGCGGTCACTAGATGTGAAAAGCAACTCACTACTGGTGAATGTTACATTGACTGTATAGGACTGTCCCTTGTGAAGCTGGCATGGCTGTGATGGGCAGGGATAGATGTCAACCTCAGCAACTTTTCCTTCTGCTGAACCTGGAAGGAAAAACGAGGGAAATAACGTTTGGAATCAAGACCAAACGAGCTGTTCAATATATATAAGAACTTCACAAAGTACTACTTACCACAGTCGACGAATTTCACCTGCTCGGCTTTAGTGCAAGCAAGAAGAGAAAATAAAACAACGCCGAGCACACGGTAATAATCCATGGTTCAAATGAATCCTGTAGAGAACCAGCAGCACACAGTACAAACACAAGTATTACAACACCCAGTCACACGACAGTGAAACTCTGCCGTGTTTCTGAGCGCTTCCTTGTGAAGAGGTCACCTTTAATAATTAATACACAGGAAATAGCAATACAGTGGAAACTTTTATAAATAAATAAATCAACTAATTTCATTTAAATTAACTTGCTTACCAGCCCTTCCTTCAGCCTCCTGTATTTCCTTGTCACGAGACCAGAATGACTTCTCCAATCAAATACTGTCTGCATGGGCGTCTTCGTGACGTAAACGCAGTTTCGGCGAACTCTTGACCAATAGCAATGACTCATGGAAATGCTCTGAAAACAAGGAGGACATTCTGTTGCCAGATATATCAATACCCCTCTGCCAGGCTACTCGCTCAGAGATTGAAAAAAAAAGAGAGGTAAAACGATTTTACTCTCTCAATTTCTCTCAAACATGTGTGCGTCCCTCTACTTTTTAACAGTTTAAATAAAATGTAAATATCAACAAATCATAACGATATTTGTATATTTGCATTATATCCCTGCTGAAAAAAAACATCTTAAACCAGCCTATGCTGGTTGGCTGGTTTTAGCTGGTTTAAGCTGGAAATAGCTGGTTTTAGCTGGTCTCCCAGTCTGACCAGCTTAAACCAGCTAAGACAAGCCTGACCAGCTTAAACCAGCTAAAACCAGCCTGACCAGCTAAAACCAGCCTGACCAGCTTAAACCAGCTAAAACCAGCCTGACCAGCTTAAACCAGCTAGACCAGCTAAAAAAGGGGTCAAAACCCCTCTAAAACCAGCCTGACCAGCTTAAACCAGCTAAGACCAGCCTGACCAGCTAAAAAAGTGGTCAAAACCCCTCTAAAACCAGCCTGATAAACCAGCTATGATCAGGCTGGGAGACCAGCTAAAACCAGTTTGACCAGTTTAGGCTGGTTTTAGTTGTTTTTTTTTAGCAGGGATAGGGTGAAAACAATTTAAAAGTTTAAGTTTTGTTTTAAAACACACATTTAATTGCGCTTGAGAGATTTCATTGGTAACTGAACCTGCATGTTCCCATACCTCAAAAAGGGATCCTGCAACAATATAACATTTCTAGAGTGAATACAAATTTTATGTGCAATTTAATTAAATCGTTTTTTAAAAGTTGTGTCCCCAAAGCCGTGCACTCTCTGCAAACTCTGCGCCTCATCTGCCACTGTAAGTGAATAACGAACGACCCGAACATTTTATATCGCTAGGGTACATTACAAAAATCTGCCATCTGTGAGGCTTGATTGGGCAACATTTGATATTTGAGTCATAATTAATGTTACACATATCAGCTTATTTTTTTCTATATATAAATAGGATTTTTCCACAGCAGACACTTTTTACAGAAGTCATTTTTTGTTTGCCAATAAAATTACACGTTTGCAGAAAAAATGTTATTGCACATCGAACCGAATTAAAAATTGAAATGCATTTGTGACTTAAAACAGATAAATCTTGACTGTCAGGAAAAGTTACCATTAGTAAGGTAAACCATTAGCATTTTGTTTATGTTCCTTTTTATATTCCGTTTAGCCTAAGTGTTTATTTTCAGAAATGAACAGGCAGAAATTGTAAAAAAAATAATAAAAGGGTTAAAACCCTGAATCTGGCAACCCTTACTCTCGATAACTTCGTCATGCGCATGCGCAGTACTATCAGGGCTATAGAAGATGTCATTCGCCGCCAGAAGACTGCTCATAAGCGCCCCTAAAACAGCGTCATTTCACCTTTTCAAGTATGCACAATTTAGCGAAATGGCAATAATACATTCAGGATGTGTTGTCTCATATAATACGTCTTTGTTTGGTACTTTATCTTCAAATAATAGCTAATGCACGTAGCTTAGCTAGCTAACTTAGCTTGAGAACAGATGCGACAGTGAGCTAACAGCACAGATGATATGATTTGGGGCATTGTGTGTGTTTGTTGTTGTCCAGAGTTCAGACAGTCCGAACATGTTCAGCTCCTCTCACCTCCAGCAGCGCCTCCTCCACCAAAGAGGAGCCCCAAAACCCCTCCAGCAGCAGCCCAGCGGAGAACATCCGTCTCAGTCAATCCTGTCTCAAGGTTTGATCATCCCACCTGCACTTCATCTTTGATACTTCAGTGATCACATTTTTGGGAGTAACAGATAAACCAGTCATAGTAGACATGGACAACAATAAATAATCTAATTAAAATGTTGATTATTATTCCTGCAGAAGCTCGCTGAGATTATGGAAAAGGGAGAGTATCTGAGGATAGCAGTGGAGGGAGGCGGATGTTCAGGATTCCAGTATAAATTCGCACTGGATACTGTTAGAAATGAAGACGACAGGTAATTACTAATAGGACTTGAAGAAAAAAAATATTAATTGTTAATATTAACTGTTAATCATAAAGGTCCATTTTGAGTTATTTTTCAACATGGAGTCAGTCAAAGATGCTTAATGTTTTTCATCAACCTCAGCAGCTATGTTAGTAATTGTTAAGACATGACTCTGATAACAGTTTAAACATGCTTTTATTTTCTAACAATAAACATTAAGTAGACATGAGAGAATCCACAATTCTTGTTTATCAATTCTAATAAATGTATTTGATATGTTATCTATATTCTATTGTGAATAAAATATAAGTTTATGAGATTTGTAAATTATTCCATTCCTTTTTTACTCACAATCTGTACAGTGTCCCAACTTTTTTGAAATTGGATTTGTAGATGAAAATGAGAGATGTTGCCTTGGAGACTTGCTGAAATATTTTTTAAATAAAAATTGCAGTTATATTTCAATTAACAATCACCCTCGCACACCTGTATGTCATTGATAGGTGCGTAAGAAAAACAACCAAAAAAGGTCCAACTTCAAAAAACCAAAAAAGGTCCAACTTAAAAAAAAAAAAAAAAAAAAAGAATGAATCCGGCTCACTATCCTGACTTGCAAAATCTATCAAAATATTTATTAACAAACAATGTTTCGGCCCATGGCCATGCCTGATGAAGATCATGGACCAAAACGTTGTTTGTTAATAAATATTTTGATACATTTTGCAAGTGAGGATAGTGCGGGATTCGTTCTTCTTTTTTTGTTTTGGAGTTATATTTCAGTTACCTTTTTTTTTTCATTTCTAGTACGGAAACTTTTTTATGGGTTTAGTGTTAACAATAATAACACTGGTTCAAATTGTGTTACTAAATAATTAAAACATTTAAATTGCTAAATAACTAAATTATAAAAAATATTTATACCATATATTATATTAGTTTTTATAATTTTTTTGATAAATTTAAGGAGGTGAGATCACCATTTAAAAGATGAGGGTACGGATTTTAAACTTGCTAACGTTAATCTAGTTGACCTAACATTTCTAATAGTTCTCTGTCCAAAGAACATCAGGTTTGTGCTAGGGGTCGACCGATTATTGGCGCAGATATTAAGCATTTTTATGGTTATCAATATCGGTCATTTTCTAAACCGATTTTCCGATAAAATAATTTAAAAGCATTTAAAGAAAGTTTTTGTCATAGCCCTTGTCATTATTAATTTTGACATTAGTTTTCAGTTTTACAACCGACATATATATCGGTTCAAAATACTGGTTATCGGTCTACTTGATCTGTAATAATCTGTATCAGCATCGGCCCTGAAAAACACATTGGTCGACCCCTAGTTTGTACCTTTATTACCATATCTTAAGTCTTAGTTTTCATACCACAGAAATCCAATATACATACTTGGCCATCAGTGATGTGATAATGCAATTTTGTAGATCTTTTGCTTTTATTTTGGTCTCGTTTTTTCCCCAGAGTATTTGAAAAGAATGGTGTTGGGATAATAGTTGACCAGGACAGTCTGGAGTTTGTGAAAGGATCCACCATTGACTTCAGTCAGGAGCTCATCCGTTCTTCCTTTCAGGTTTTGAAGAACCCACAGGCTGAACACGGCTGCTCATGCGGCTCGTCTTTCTCTGTCAAAATCTGACACCCATCTTCTCTCCATCACACTGTTATAGTTTATGAAGTTGTTAGTGCATGCATAACTATGTGCTTATTGAAGATCAGCCAAAAGCATGATAATAAGCTAACATTAGGGGTTCCGATTTGTTAAATCTATTAATATGACCACAGATGACATAATTGAAGAAAAACTAAAATCAGACCCTGCAGTTGTTAGTGTGTTGTATATAAGGAAGAGTGTATATATATTTCTAATAAAGTTATAATATATGGTTTTCCATTGCCTGTTAAGATCATTCTTTTTTGGGGAATATTCTCAGGGTCATTTGCATAGCTTATCACAGACTATTATTATGTGATTTGAATCATGTGATAATGAATAGGTCGCCATTTCTTAAGGTACAGCTCAGATTTAATGCAAGTCATTTGTTTTTATTACGAAATGATAGATTAATCACAGAATTGAATCGAAATACTTCCTGATTACATTATAAAAAGTATAAGTAAATCTCATGTTGTCTTGATCATAAGGAAGTTCGCTATCACACTATGTGTTCTTTGTTTTACGCTGACGAAGTCTTTTCCTGAAGATGATCAAAGCCAACAATTCGTCAAAATATTTTAAAGGAATATTCCGGGTTCAAAAGAAGTTAAGCAGGATTTCTGCCAAAAATTATTTTGACTCTGTCCTCATAAGTATGTACCGTGTAAACTATATTTAGTGTTATAATTGATATGTCACAGATGTGTATTAAGCCCAAACGATCAATCAGAATTTTTTAATGTGGTGATCAAACACTTATAATGATGTGACAAGCATAGGCCTATGTAGTGGATGCAGGGTATTTAACAATTTAACAATAAACTTTATTATTCAAAATGAGTCTGACATCAGTGCACTTAACAGTAAACTTCACTTCACTTATTATAAATAACTTAACACAAATATAACAAAATATATTTCTGTCATGACAACTCTCAGAGGGATTGGCATGGTAATGTACATGACAATGTTAATGTATTTGGTCTTGGTGAAATAGATCTGCTATGCTGCTGCTGCAGCAGAGCAAGTAGAGACTTGCTACTGCCAATACATCCACAACATGCTGCTGTGAGTATGTAAGAAATACTGCTGCTGCACATATGAATAACCCCCATATAGCATACATGAATCACCTCGTAGCAGATCTATACAGGTGGAGCTGGGGAAGGTGAAGGGTTTCTGAAGTGCGCTGCAAACTGCTACAGCAAACAAAAGCCAGGTATTTTAATAATGAGCAGTAAGCTCATTAGCTACCGATACAGGAGCGAACCAATCAGCTGCTATGTGACAATGACATCGCCAGGTCAGATTGAGCTAGACCTATCGGACTGCGCCATCTAGAGTTTCATGTCAGAACACTGTATATGTACATGTTTTTTTTTTTTATTAAATTTGGCTTTTAAGAAACATTTCACAAAAATATACAAAAGAATGTCTTTACAAATGATATTTACATTGATAAGAAAATCAAAATATGAATTAAGCACATCTCTTTCAATCAGAATGATACTGAAGGAGAGAACGTTGCATTTCATATCTTCAGTTCACTCTGAGCCTTGACAATCCAGCTGAGTAAAATGAAAATAAAAACAATACTAAAAAAAATCCTAATCAGATTGAATGTGATGTTATAAAGGCTTCAGCAGCAAGATGAACAGTGATTTCAGATAAGACGGCATTGAAACAAACTCTTTTCATTCATTTTCTGAGGGATTGCATTATCATTTTTTCTTTTAAACTTCGATCTCAGACATGAAACACAAAGCATACGGTTCATACCTACTCGCACAGACGCACAAACGGACATCTCAAGTTCACTAATCAAGCTAAAGTTGCTACATATGAGGTTAGGTGTGTCATCTACGGTTTAGGGAGAGCACGTTCAAGATCGACATTAACAGACCACTGGACTACCACAGTGAGCAGGTCAAGTATACAGTGCATAGAATGCTTTGGCATGCTGACATCCTAGAATATAACGCCAGTGTTACATTCAGGGAGAAGGCCACAGGAGATCTAATAAACCTCAAAAAGAACCACCTAACCAACAGAAATACAACGGAAAACAATCGGGTTATAATAAAAAAACAGAATCTCCAACAGAAAAACACACCTAAACGAACAAAAACACGGGTAGTTTAAGGCTAATCGTACTTAGCTTGCTACAAGTTCTTTTTCATTTGGAAGAAATTCTTAAAAACATTGATACAGATGGACTCCAAAATAAATTACGTTCTGCAACTTGTAGCTCAGGATTTTCTGTTTTTAAAAAAAACAAAACAAAAGGGGATAAACACATACACATCTGATAGATCTTTTACTGTACGCTGGGTCATGTGACACCTTGACCCAACTAGCATTCAGAAACGCTTGAGTTCAGGTATGGGTGACGGCTCATTAAGACGCATGCATCCGGTCACGGAGCAGACGGGTGGTGAAGACTGAAATCCACCGCCTGATGTTCCTCATTCCACGAGTCGGTTCACTCGTGCTGTCAGCTGGGCTTGTGATGTTTTGAGGCAGAGGAGAGGAGACTGCATGCCCTCAGTGAGAAGCGTGAACACAACGCCATACAAACAAGCTGAAAGACAGAAAACTTCTTCATTGTAGAAACATTTATAATACTTTAGTGCAGCTCCTAGTAATTCTTGGTTCTGATTGGTTAATGACAGTATTCTGCAATCAAGTGTATTATTAATCGTTGCCGCTTCATGTCTGTTTCTTTTCATAGAAAGTTTGGTGTCCATTTTTTATGAATGTATTTGTTCATTCACTCATTCAAATTTCACTTGGCAATATGGCAAAAAGTTAATTTTGGATTCTAATTTTGCAGTCATGGGTCATTCCAAAATATTTGTATACTGTATATGCATAGTAGACATTTACATTGTTACAAAAAAATATATGTATTTTTTGCAAAAAATATTAAGCAGCACAACTGTTTTCAAGATTGATAATAATGAGAAATGTTTCTTGAGCAGCAAATCAGAATATTAAAATGATTTCTGAAGGATCATGTGACACTGAAGACTGGCGTAAAGATGTTGAAAGTTCAGCTTTGCATCACAGGAATAAATTACATTTTAAAATATATTTAAATAGAAGTTAAAATTGTAATAATATTTCACAGTGTTACTATTTTTACTTTATTTAATTATGTTTATTACTATGTGTGTTTGTATACACACAAACATGTACATACGTGTGTGTGTGTGTGTTTAAGGTCTAACAAAGGTCTAGATTTTATAGTTCTGGGTCGAAAGAACAGAACAAAATTGTTTTTGTTCAAAGTGTTCCAACTAAACTGACAACTGGACACACAGTGAAGCAAACCAATGAAACTGTCTCAATATGCTGATTCAAAAAAGGAAGAATAATAAAGAAATTACAGCAATATGGGGCCTGCGAGGAACAGAATGAAACCACAACAGAACAAGCACCTTCTATCATCGCCTCCGGCGCTGACGACAAAGCGATCCCCGTTGGTGAAGCGGATGTTGGTCAGGTGGGCAGAGTGGCCCAGAAATCGTTTGTGTTTGGCCTGAGGAAACAGATTCTAGTCAGACAATTTGCTATTTTATTTTTGAAAAAGCAGAAATGTGTGCAGCACAGGTTAGAGCACGGATGTATAATGGACATAAACATTTTAAAATCCAATTAAACAGCTGAACTTTGGCTGTTGAGAGAATGTTTTGATCTGTGTTGGCAAGAACTGTCACATCCAGCACTTTTTACTGTCTTGTGATGTACTGTCACGTGTTATTGCATTTTCTCAGCATTCAGTAAAATACGATATGCAGAGACAGCGGAAATTAGTCTGTGGTTTCTATTTATGTGTAGGAACAGCACTATTGGCCATTGTGGAGAGGGAAGTACACTTTAGCATACTTTTAAAAAGAGTACTTATTACAGAAATAAAATACTTTCAATTATACCATGGTCTGTCCGAATACTCGATTCTGATTGGCTGGCAAGTATGCGGTAAAACCGTTTAATGCACAGGTAGTTCCAATTCAGTTTAATCACCGATCTATATGCGCTTTAATTGATGCACACAAACCCACACACAGAGAGAGAGAGAGACAGACGGAGAGAGGGGTCGGAGATCGCAAATCTCACTGTGCACATACATAAACTTGTCGTCAACGCTGCCCCACGAGTTTTATTAATAAAATAGCCTAGATACTGGATCGCTACATTATATTTCTCAGCAACGAGGTGGTAAAATAGCTGTTTGTGAAGTAACTAAACACAGCTTCATTGTTTGTAGAGAGAGACGCGCAGACGGAGGTAACTCACACACATACATCTCTCTCTCTCTCTCTATTGATCGATAATTAATTTTAAAAAATGCTGTAATTCATTCAAATAAATGTGATCGTGCCGCACTACTTCATCCGTCTCTGATCTGAAGCGGGCAGAATGCTAGAGCCAACGAGCCGTAACTGACGAAAATAACCGTTATTTTTTTACCCTTCCGGTCAAATTTTTTGCACTTCCCGTCGGGTGGTTCTTGGCATAGATATATATACATAGATGCCTCATTAGCGACCATTTCTATGGGCCGCGATACGTAAGCCATCCGCCATTTTTGGAACGGTCTGCGAATCCTCGAGCGTGAGTTAACTGTGTGCGTCTACAACAGCAAGTTATATGCATGTACATCTTTGAATATCCATTGATTATTATGGTGAATGGCGTCAAGTTGACCATTCCAAAATGGCAGACGGGTCAACGTATCTGGAGAGGTCATCTCTACATATCTAAGGTTCTTGGCCTCCACGTCGTGCATTAAAATCGTTTAATGCACAGCTAGCCGTGCATTATCCCTTACGTAATATATTTAAGTGTGAACTGAATGTAATGTTTTCAGACACTTCATTACATGTTATTTACAATTAAATGAAAATGTATTTGTTTAAATTTATATTAAATATAATTAGCTGAGCTTTAGAGTGCTTTTTGACCCACTTAAGTTGGACTTGAGCACAAATTTATATGTGATTTCATAATTATTTTACAATAATATGGTTAAAGTCATGTATTTAAATATATTTGTAATTGCACATTTGAAATGAAGTTGCAATTTAGTCAATTTAAATGCAATATCAAATGCACTACATACTACAGGTAAAATTATAATCAAATACTTCACACGTGCTTTAGTATGTTAGTCAACATCAAAAATGTGCACTTATTCAAAGCGCAAGATTATTAAAAACATAACTGAAAATATCCTTTAAAGTAAATCTTTTAATTTTACATTATTACACTTTTTAAATGTGTAGCATTTTTACGTCTTCTTTTTAAACTCTAGATGGGACTTTTGTCAAACTCTTTGTATGGCAGAAATCAATAAAATTGTGATTGAAGCTCAACAATTATGAAATACCATCAACAAGTGAAGCCCACCTTCATTTGTACAAATATTCATAAGATCACCAGAAGCAAACATCATTGTTACACATGTAAGTTGCCCACAAGGTGTTCTGTTATTGCGTGTTGTTATATTTTAAAGGATTTTATGGTGATACTGTATAAACGATAAGAGGAGAAGAGGACAGAGGAGTGGCAGCGTGTCTAAATATCCATAAAATGCCCATGTACACATTTGTAGTCATAAGGTAAATACAGAAAGTAGGCTAATTAACATTTTTACCATCAATGTGTCTAACTAAAAGATGTGATACAGCAATTAATCAGAAAATTTATGCTTTAGCTAAAGTTACAGAAGATTAACCAGCAATCCTAATTTGGAGCCATTCGTTTCAAAGCATGATTAAGGATGCGTGATTATTTTTAATTTGTACAGGTTTTAATGATATGAGGGTGTGTAAATGATGACAGACTTCTAGTTTGTGAATGATCTATCTCTTTAAAAGGATTAAATGTATGCAAAAATACATAAGTTCTTAGTTGTTTTAACCATGCTGTATGTCAGTCTAGAGCTTTTTTTTTAAATAATTTAAGCATCGTTACGCAAGTTGTCCCTGCCAAGTAATGTATGTTAAGTGAAATATAAACAGAAGTAAAAACTAAACTTAACTGAAAAACTAAAATGAACAAACAAACAGACTGCAAAACAACCGAAATGAAATCATTTGCTTTAAGCATGATTAAGGATGCGTGATTATTTTTAATTTGTACAGGTTTTAATGATATGAGGGTGTGTAAATGATGACAGACTTCTAGTTTGTGAATGATCTATCTCTTTAAAAGGATTAAATGTATGCAAAAATACATAAGTTCTTAGTTGTTTTAACCATGCTGTATGTCAGTCTAGAGCTTTTTTTTTTAATAATTTAAGCATCGTTACGCAAGTTGTCCCTGCCAAGTAATGTATGTTAAGTGAAATATAAACAGAAGTAAAAACTAAACTTAACTGAAAAACGAAATTAAAATGAACAAACAAACAGACTGCAAAACAACCGAAATGAAATCATTTGCTTTATGTGTGACGTGACATGTGGCCAAGTATGGTGACCCATACTCGGAATTAGTGCTCTGCATTTAACCCATCCTAAGTGCACACACACAGCAGTGAACACACACCCAGGGAGCAGTTGGGGGTTCGGTGCCTTGCTCAAGGGCACCTCAGTCATGGTATTGAAGGTGGGAGAGAGCGCTGTACATTCACTCCCCCCACCTACAATCCCTGCCGGTACGAGACTCGAACCCACAACCTTTGGGTTACGAGTCCGACTCTCTAACCATTAAACAAAATTAAAACGAAATTAAACACTCAAAAGCTGGGATTGGAACAACATAAGGGTGAGTAAATGATAACAGAATCTTAATTTTCCATTCTTAACTCACCACGCATCACAAAAAAGTGTCTTTTTCAAACAAAACAACACTTTATTTCAGCAAAAATGGGGTATACTTACAAATTTCTCTGGACACGGAAAGTCGAACAGCTTTACCATTCCAAAGTCATCGCCTGTGACAATGTTGAGGCCGGAGTGAGACACACAAGCGCAGGTTACATCTGCCTTATCTGTGTTCCTGGACCAGATCCCCACCACCTCATCCCCGAGGACACTACAGAGACACCCAAACCAGTACTACAGCAGCCATTGAGAACAGTCACTTTACTGACAGAAGTGGCTTTCATTTTGATTTTACGGGATGCTAGCAGTGCTGGAACCACCAACTGTTACCCAGAAGGTCTATAATAAAGGTACACCAGGCAGCAAAACAAGAAATTTAGCTCGAGTAAGAAAATAAATCAGGAGAAGTGCTGTGAAAAAAGCAATATGCTGTAATCGCAGATAGAATTAGATTCCTCCGAGAACCGAGTTAGTTGAAAACAATTCGTAGTGTAATTTTTAAATTCACGTTTTAAATTTGGACAGAATGAGAGAACACAATTTAATCTAACCTCCTCACCAAAGTAATACTTATGAGCTTGAAATCTGATAGAACGACTGCAAGTACAATGAACTAATCTGATTGGCTGGTCTCGATTCAATCAGTGGGAATAATGAAATCTTTAAAGTGTACTGTTTGCTTTTCAGCTGCTGATGGGTGAGTGTGTTGCAGTCCGTTACCTTGTCCATGTGGCCCAGGTTATTCTGTCTATCACTGCTTGCTCAGTGACTTGCTTCCCAGAAGGCACCTCATAGACTACACGTTTATAAGCACCAGTAGACAACTGCAGAGAGCAAAACATGCAGACAGAGTGAGTAACTTTGTGTAGAACTGATCTAATGCTCTCTGGCACAGAAACAGCCCAGAGAAAGACCTTAAAGGGGTCATGACCTGCCTTTTTATACTGTTCTCTGAGGTCCACTTATAATGTTATCAAGATTTTTACATCAATAAATATTTGGAAGTAATAGACTTATTTTCTGTCCTGTTTTTAACCCCCTCATCAGAACGCTCTGTTTGAATAGGCGTGCCGAATTGTAGACTCGGAGGTAAACGCCCACTGCTATGATTGGCTAATAGTTGTGTATGTTTGACAGCATATACATTCCTCATAGATGGAGGCTGCTGCGATTTAGGTCGAAAAACGCATAAATACTCAGTACATATCAAACCATCTGTAATAACAGACAAAGCAATAGTGACCACGTAATGGAAACAGTGACTCACACTTGTGTGGTGCGACATCTTATCCAGTATAGTCGGCACAGCATCATCGTCTTATAATTTCAATCTTTCTGAAAATCCTGCGTCAAATTATGATTGTTTGTAAATTAATCCACATCAAGATGAAGTGAACAAAGGACCAAGTTCTTACTGATGCTGTCTGGCACTTCATTAAAAATAAAGTTCATCAATACAGTTTATCGTTTGGTTTCTGTGTAGACCTGCGTTTGCCTCTCTCGTTATTTACACTACAGTACATGCTCAAATCGGTGGGCGGGGCTAAACACGCAGTGCTATAGAAGCAGGCATTGATCTTCTTCTGCGGAGGCGATGCTTATCCACTCTAGAGTGGCACATTCCACCTAAACAGAAACGTTTTTGTCAGCCGAACCCATTTGATGTAAAATCTTTACTTCAAGTATACAACCTGAGATGTTATGTTAATATTTCAATAATTTAACAACACATTCACATGTTCACATGACATGCAAGTAAAAAAAAAAAAACACATCTGTAAAATAAAAACAAATAATATATATTTTTGTTAAGCATTTTATTTTGAACTTTTTTATTTTAAAATTCTTTTATCAGCTCATAAAGCCCCTGCAGTTCCCTCTCAAACCAGTTTGGGAATCCCTGGCTTAAGTCCAATGTATGCTTCATTTTCCACATTCCTCTCCATCTCGCAAACAGTTGAGTGAGCAAGCCTTTCTTTTCAAATCAAAATCAACCTCATCTTTTCAAAGCTCAAATCAACCTAATAACACCCCTTAGTAGGCTTGCCGTGATAGACGGTGCTGACGGTGATACCGGTGTTAAGTGGTGTTACGTCACTTGCCCACCGCGAGACCCCCTCCGTCGTTTTGATTTTTTATAGTAATAAAAATCATTTAGTTCAGTAAAAGAACAGACACTACAATTAAAAACTGAACAAGCTGCTCAATGCAGTGTGCCGAACGACAGTCGCATCACAGATCAGATTTCATTTCTCCAGTGAGGAGAGTGAGTCGAGCTGACTGACGAGAAGAGTGAGGCGAGGTGAGACAGACAAGACGATGGCGGATGATTTAGTTTCGAAACGAGATGCAAAAGCACCTGTTTGGCAATATTTTGAATTTTGAAAAGCCTGTTGACATTTGCCGTTTATCTAAGATGATTTTTAAACATTCGTTTCTTATTTAATTGGTTCCACATTGTTTGCAGATTTTTACTTTATTTAAACTTTGTGTCATTTATTTATTTTTACATCAAGGTGTATGCCGTGCCTCCAAGCTTTCTTACTCGTTTTGCTAATAAACGTTCTACGTTTCTTATTTATTTGGTTATATATTATACATGTTTACTTAGCCTATTTCCAGTTTTGTATACCTATTTAAACTTTATGTAAGTTATTTGCTAGTTTATATTAGGCATAGCCTGCCCTATAGCATGGTGTATTTTTATTTGTTTTGTTAATAAAAGTTCTATGTTTTATATGTAGGCTAAAGTGAGTTTGATGTTGTATTTTGTTGTTGCATTCAAGCAATTGATAACTGCCGCTAATTCGAAGCTATTTAAAAGCGAAGGAAAGCAAGGAAAAGAGGGGAAATTCAAACAAACTAAAAACGAACAATTGCTTTACGCAGAATTGCCGTTATTTGAAAGTGAAAGTAAAATGCGCATGCAGCTTTTACAAGCTATTTAAAAGTGAAGGAAAGCAGGAAAAGAGGGAACACATCCATTTTCATTGTATTCTAATTTACAGTATATAATTGCGGTGATAAGTACTCTTTGATAAGTACTACATTCTCTCATACAAACAAGCAAACACACACAAACACAGTTCAACATGCTGTACCTGCACATAGCAGCTGTCAGCAGAAAAGTCCATCTGCATGACAAAGCTAGGGATGTCCCTACAGCAGTTGATGCGGTTGAGCTGCGGTCCTAACGTCAGGTCATAAAAATCTACTGCATTCTCACTGGAACCCACAGCCAGGTAGCGTGAGTCTGGACTGAACCTGAGGAAAAGAAACTTTAGTTGTTGCAATAGACCATGTTCATGTCAGAACGAAATAAATTTCACCTAGAAACAACAATGCAGAAATTTGTTTCTGCCTGAAATGGAAATGGAAGTGTCTTTAGTATTTCATAATTGCGACTTCATTCCATTTTTTTTTTACACTGCAGTGAAAACATGACTAACCCACCCTCAAAAATAAAATAAAAATGTATTTTAGTGGCTGAAATTATTATGGATATTTTAATAAAATTAAATAATGCATAATTAGCATCAGTCTCACCTGATATCTTGTATGGCAGAGCGCCGATCTCTCTTCTTCCCCCAGATCTTTAGTGAGGTAACAAGGAGGATGATGAACTCTCCATTCTTCAGGCCGATGGCCACCATGTCGCCCTCTGGGCTGTAGCTGACTGCGCGTGCAGGATGACCGAGGTTCACTTTATTCAGCATCTTCTGTTTTTCCATACAGGAGAGCATTTGACTCATCTGGTATCTCTAAAAAACCACTATGCAGAGGCATTATATAATTTACCCTCTCTGAAATATCCCAGAGGCGCACAGTGCCGTCCTCAGCAGCAGACAGGAAGACGTCTCGGGTGGGGTGAGCTCCCAGTCCCCAGATAGGACCATCCATGTGGCCGTTCACCAGAATGTTACATGCTGCGTTCTTCTCACCAACCTCAATGATCTCAGCATTCCGAGTGCCCACGAGAATCTTCCCCTGAACAATCAAGGAGGAGGACACAGAGAGCCATACTATTTATCAGGAAAAATAGCCAGCTTGATATTTCTGACTAAGGCTAGTTGGTTCTTACTGGCTTTAGAAACATCATATATTTACATTTACATTTACATTTAGTCATTTAGCAGACGCTTTTATCCAAAGCAACTTACAAATGAGGACAATAAAAGCAGTCAAAACTAACAAAAGAGCAACAATGTATAAGTGCAAATGACAAGTCTCGGTTAGCCTAACGCAGTACACGTAGCAAGGTGTATATATATATATATATACATTAAAGATTAATCTTGCAGCAGCATTTTGGAGGTTTGATAGAAGTGGCTGGAAGACCTGCCAAGAGAGCACTGCAATAGTCCAGCCTGGATAGAACAAGAGCTTGAACAAGGAGATGTGTTGCATGTTCTGAAAGAAAGGGCCTGATCTTCCTAATGTTGTATAAAGCAAATCTGCAGGACCGGGCACTTTTAGCAATGTGGTCTGAGAAATTCAGCTTATCATCAATCACAACTCCAAGGTTTCTAGCTGTTTTTGAAGGAGTTATGGTTGATGAGCCTAACTGGATGGTGAAATTTTGTGAAATATATGTATGTACATATGCATTTATCTTAGGAATGCACGATATTATCGGACCAATATCGGAATCGGCCGATAATGGCTTAAAATGCAAATATCGGCATCGGCCCAATATATGAAAAATTATGCCGATATGTCTTGCCGATAAGTGGATTAACTCACACGTGCTCAGGGTATGCTAGCGATTAGATCACGTCAGCAGTGCAGTCATTCTTGAAGCAACTTTTGCTTGAATGATGATTAGATTCACTGTTTTGGATCGCTGCATTTACTTTGAGTATGCACGTGCAAGATGATGCCTTCAGTGTGCAGCTGTCAACAGTCACTACCGCGCGTGCAGTAGCAGCAGCGGCCGGTCTCCCACGGGTCCTAATGCCCGTCCGGTAAGGCGTTGTATTTACATAGGGGGGTGCTGTTGGCCTACTTGTAACAAAATAAAAGTAAAATACACATATCACTAAGAAACTAGTGTTTCTGAATAAAGCAGTATCAATGTCATAAAATTATGAGTGTGTTTTGATTTAAAGGTCAGAAGCTTTAGCTTACAAATGAATAATAAAAAAAAATCACAAACATGACACATGCAGATTTATACATTAATGTGTTTTTTTTATGAATTATGAGCTCTAAAAGAATTTCAGAATTTTTACAACTCTTTTGCCTTAGACCATCTACAGCTGTTAAATCTATAATTATTTTCAAAGCTTTCAATGTACTGTCATTATAAAAGAACTAACAAATAAGTTTATGTTCAAAACTAACCAAAATTTAAAATAATTTGTCTATAATTTCTGCACAGGAGAGACTTGGTGTTGTTTCCAAACAAAAGGAAATATATCGGTATCGACATCAGCTATCGGCCAAAATGAGTTGAAAAACATATCGGATATCGGCAAAAATCCAATATCATGCATCCCTAATTTATTTATTTCCTGTTTCTTCACAAATTCAAAAATTCCCCCTCTTTTATATATTCTATTATTTCTATAGTAGTATTGCTATACTGAAGATTATTGCCATTACTCCAGTGTTTCCTTAGAAACCATTACTTATTATTATGAGTGCTGACAACAGTTACGTTTTTTTTTTTTAAATAGCAAAAGTTACATTAGTGACATTATAAATGTCTGTACTGTCACTGTCATACAGTCCTTGCAGAATTAGTATTATAGTTTGGTATTATGGTATTATGAGTATTAATTTCTTTCAAAAAGTGACTCCGGTATTATGAGTATTAATTTATTTCAAAAAATGACTCCAAAAACCTGTTTATTTATTAGATAGCAAAAATGGTGTGGGCGAGATGTTGTGTAATTAATTGCATATGCACAAAAAGAGAAAAATACTAATAAAAATAAATCACAATCATCATAAAATAAAAAAAATAGGGGGGGAAAAGTCTGGTAGGGACAAAACAGCACACCAGCAACCCACACAAGGCATAACTTATCGGAGTAAATCATATCTATCAGTACATCATTACTGATCGATTACTGATCAGTACAGCACATATAGGACCACATTTGTAAATAAATAATAAATAACAGGGCTGAATAACACAGAATTTGTATTTCTACTGAGGAATATTCATTGATGTCAGAAAGACAGCATATGTCTAGCTTCTTGTGATTCCTGACCAGAATGTACTCCCAGAGGTCTGTTAGATTTTGCTGTATTTGGCTGAGCAGGGGTTTGGGTGGCTCGCCAATGTATTCGATTCTCTAATACATAAATTAAGTAAGCTTGGCCAAAGTTCTTGTGGGGACAAGAATTTACTGAATGTGTAGTGTAGCAGTTCTTCAGCAGCGACGTCATCCTTCAAGAATCTTAACTCTTGTAAGAATCGTAGCTTGTAATAACCATTTGGGTCACACCTTTACCGAGTTTCTGTTGACTGCATCTGAGGCACAGTCACAATGTAAATGCATCTGACACATAATCTTTCAGGTCCAGTATTTCCCATCCTCTTCAATGTAGTGATTTTGTGTAAGTGCTGTACCTTGCCCCTGCAGACAGAGCGCACACAGTCTATGATCTGGCCCGTCTCCAGTCTGAAGGCTCTGCATCGCTTCAACTCCTGATCCCACAGTTTGAGCGCACCACCCTCCTTAGACCTGCAGAGGGCAGCCCACACAAATCCTCTCATTTACTACAGCAGCTTTTGAGAATGCTCATGCAGATTCAGAGAACTATTTCTGTTAAAGATAGTGGGAAAGGTCAAGCCACTTACGGTCGTTCTTTGCCCCCCGTCACAATGAGCCCGTCTCGTAATGTAGTGTACATGGTGAACACAGGTCCAGTGTGAGCCTTAGCCACGATTCTCACTAGAATGTGTTCCTTCCACACACACACATCTCCACTAATGGTACCTGTAAATGTCAAGTTATTCTGAAAAGAAAACAAACCTGCACTAATCTAGTGACCTCTAAGAGAAAAACAGCACAAACATGGCAAAGCACAGCATTTTCATATCTGTTCACTCATACTTCTACTCAAATCTTTAAAAAAGTAAAACATCATTTTTTAAGTTACAATCATAAACAACTTTTTGAATTAATTACTGATTTTGCATCTTGTCCATTTAAGCTCTGACACACAAGTGCACAAACAAATGCACACGTATGCATGTATACATAAATATCTACTCACACATGTTCCACATTCATAAAAAGGGATAGTTCACCCAAAAATAAAATTCTGCCATCACCTTGCTCATCCTCATTTCGTTTCTAACCTTTATGACTTTCTTGCATTGTGAAACACAGAAATAGTTATTTTGCAACTCTCAAATCTCATTCTGTGTGTGTGTGTGTGTGTGTGTACCTGGTATTTATCATGTTATGGGGACCAAATATCCCCACAAGGATAGTAATACCAGTAAATCTTGACCGTGTGGGGACATTTTTTGGGTCCCCATGAGGAAACAAGCTTATAAATCATACAGAATGAATTTTTTTGAATATCTAAAATTGCAGAAAGTTTCCTGAGAGGGGTAGATTTAGGTGTAGGGTTGGTGTAGGGTGATAGAAAATACAGGTTGTACAGTATAAAAAGATAAAAACCATTACACCTATGGAATGTCCCCATAAAACACAGAAACACAGCGTGTGTGTGTGTGTGTGTTTAGTCAAATATGGAATACACAACTGTTCAAATGTCTGGGATCAGTAACATTTTTTTTAAAGAAATTAATACCTTTATTATTATTCAGCAAGGACGCATTAAATTGGTCAAAATTGAAAGTAAAAACTAAAAAAAATATATAAATTATTAATTATATAAATTATGTAATATTATGTAATTACTTTCTATATATCAAATAACACTAAAAAAATAGTTTCTTGAAAAATATTAAGAAGCTCAACTTTTTTAAATTTGATAATAATAAAAAAATAATTTTGAACACCAAATCAGCATATTAGATCCATGTGACACGAAAGATTGGCTCAATAGCTGCTAAAAATCGGAATCAGAAATAAATTACATTAAAAAACTGCAATAGTTCACAATATTACTGTTTTATTGTATTTTTGATAATAAGAGATTAAGAGAATGGTTAAAACATTTTTTAAATCTTACCGATCCCAAACTTTTGAATGGTACTATATATAGAGCTTATTTTCTCATTTTCATTTGCTTTCATTTTATGGAAAAGAGCCACTTTGAAATTCTGACAAACCCCCCTTTGTACTGGTTTGGAAAACCATTGCATTTTTAATTTTAGGTGAACTTTTCCTTAATTTCTCCCTCTCTAACAACAAATACGAAATGAGCTGAACATCATGTAGAAACAGAAGAATACTTACAGCTCCAAAGGCCACTGAAAGCATGGTCTGCATACGGGCATCCTCAATGGAGCTGAGCACTCCTTTCTTACTGAGCAGGGCCCTGCCGGCCAGCGTCCAGAACCGCACGTGTTTTATCCCCACTGACACAAACTGAGTGTCCGAATCAGGCCGGAACTCTGCCACAAAGATCCTCTGGGTGTGACCGGCCCGACTTGCTACTTTGGCACCTTTGAAAAGAATTTCAGATCACAAACCTGACATAAAAGCAGAGTGCAGAGTGAATGCTGTGTGTGTGTGTGTGTGTGTGTTGACCTGTACCTTCTTGCCACTTCCAGATGGTGAGGGTGTGCTGGGGGTCCAGACCCACAGAAAGCAGCAGTTTGCCGGTGGCACTGAAGCTTACAGAGCATACGCCCCTAGAATGATGGCAGCGCAGCACAGAGAGGGTCTGTTTGTTCATGGCTTCCCACACATGGATAGAGGGAGATGTGGCTGCAAATATAAAAAGACTTTATTTGTCCACTGTTGCTCAGATTTATAAAGTTATATAGCTGTATTCAAAAATTCAATTCTGAAGTATGCCAGAGATTCGATAATCCAGTGTCAGAGACAATGTTTCATGGCAACTCTGTATTTATTAAAAAAAATGGAGAGTGTCTCTTACCTGACATGTCACCAGCATCACCTAAGGGAACAACAACAGCAGTTAAACATGGTAGGGAAAATACTTAAAATTACATAATTTTTACGGTGCATAAATGTATGTTGCAGCACCAAACTATCCAAATACTTTTTTTAAATTAAGAACAAATGTATCAAGCAACATGTGCAAATGGCAATAAGGTAAAAAGCACAGGTGCAACCATCAAAAAAAAACAAAAGGATTCGAGAAATCACACGTTTCCTTTCAGTTTCAGAGAGCCAGGTTTGGCAAAACACAGAACCAGACTCTGTGATCAAAAATCTAACTCTATTTCATTGGGACCTTTTTATCTCATCACATTCTTCCAAGACCAGTGTTGGAGAGTAACTAGTTACATGTAATGGAATTACATAATTTAATTACAAAATAGATTGTACTGTACTCTGTTACAGTTACTGAGAAAAAAATATGTAATTAAATTGCAGTTACTTATGAATATGTTAACAATTATAAAGGGGGTTACATCTGAATATTTTCACACACACATACAGATTTGATTGATTTCTTTCCCAAATTGCATTGACTGCTCTAAAATATGAGACACCAATGGAGTTTAGGATACAGAATAGGACACGTGCTTATTTGATCACTGTTTTATTTCCTATTTGGGGTTTGTGTATGTTCCTTATTTTTTAAATTAACATTTTTTTTCCGAGGCATTGTTAGATGCCAGTGTTTCCTGTCATAGCTATGCAAAGATTTGATTTCAAAAACAGTATCATAGCTATTAAACATAAAAAGAGGTGCTAAAGTCTGATGTTGTGGTGGCTGTGCTTTAAAATTAAATAATTATAATCTTAATTCAAGTGATGAAGGATTCTGAAAGTCTGACATCAGTGTTGAGTTCTGCTGTAAGGTTAACTCTGCCTGCTTTAAATGTTTGAAAATGATTAAGTTCAGAAAAATTTAGGGAAAAAAAGAAATTTAAATGAAGAAAAGTAATCAAATGTAATCAGTTACATTACTTTAATAAAGTGATTGAAATAGTTACACTACTTATTACATTTTAAATAGGGTAACTTGTAATCTGTAAACTGTTACATTTCCAAAGTAACCTTCCCAACACTGTCCAAGACCAACTTCTCTAAGCTCTAACTGTATATCTCTTTTGTTGAATTTTAGGAGAAACATCTGGGACAAAGTTAATACCAGGGCAGACAAAGTGAGAAGAAAAAGGTGAATGTTTTCACAAACATACCTACTTGGCCAGTTGCCACCACGTTGGGGAACTTTGGGTGCTGATTAATAGTCAGGCACAGAATGTCATCACTGTGTTCCAAATAGAAACTCTGACAGGCTGAAGACAAACAAACAGAAAAAAACCAATAATGATTCTCCATAACATTTTTGTCACGTCTTCATGTCTGTTTGAAGGAACTCGATGAATAAAATCCATATCTAATCCACACTTGCTACTTACGCCCACTCTGGCACATTAAAATGCATTTAACATGCATTACACATGGCAGGTACCTAAGGGTTTTCTCCCCACCTGTTGTTAAGTTTAGGACGACCCCTACTGAGGCAGTGTGGTAAATAATGTCCGCCCCCTCATTAAGGTAATGCACATTGTTACGGCAGTCGTTGCCTCGGTAACCAAACACCAGTTCAAGCACCAGGTCCTGCAGAGAGAGTCAAAGAGGGGTGTCTGAGGTCGTATCCATGACAACAGCACATAGTATCTGGCTCTCAGAAACTGTGTTGCAGTTCAAACAAGAGAGGCAAGAAAGAGCATCTATCCACTGAGGGGACAGAGCATACTACAAGCTACAAAACCAAAACACTACTAAGTAATTTAAAGTATACAGTACTATGTACAGAAAGATAGGATAGCGTAGTGACAGAACAAAACAGGAAAAGGGAAGGGAAGGGAAGGGAAGGGAAAGGAAAGGAAAGGAAAGGAAAGGAAAGGAAAGGAAAGGAAAGGAAAGGAAAGGAAAGGAAAGGAAAGGAAAGGAAAGGAAAGGAAAGGAAAGCCCACAAAAAATAAATGAATAATATTTGTTCTGATCTGCCCATCACTCACCTCAATGGGCCTCTTTTTCTTGCCGACATTGTTGGTCTGTAGTTTCTCTGGCATTGGTGGTGCCCTGCTCACTGGGGGTCTGCCCAAAGACAAAAAACAGCCACTTAATCAGTCTTAGAGCAGTAATAAGGTCAGACAGTGACCAGGTGAAAAGGACACCAGACATCTGGCATGATTCGGTTTCACTTCAGGTTTTAACTGTAACATGTAACCAAATACAAATACAAAGTTACTGAGTCAGTTCAATATGTGATAGTTTGTGTTGTACAGTAAACGTTTGGCTAAAACCTTTGTAAAATTCTGCAAATTAAGTTTATGTAAAACTTTAAACATATCAGGTAGAAAGAAATGTAAGTGATCGGTCTAGTCTTACCTTGAGCCCCTTTAAAAGCAGCATTAACAGAGAGAGAGAAAACGTTAGAAGTGTGTCAGTTGAGCAGTTCCCTCAAGTGCTCCAGAAAACAAAGAAGCACAACACGGGGACACTGAGAGCAAAAAATACAATAAAAATGTATAAATGTTGTCCATGATAATGTTCACTTGACAGCACAAAATGACCCAACGAGCTGGTGAAACAAGAGACCAGGGGCCTCATTTATAACCATTGCGTACGCACAAAACCTGCCCTGAAAGAGGCGTATGCCACTTCCTATGCAAAAGGTGGGATTTATAAAAACAAACTTGACGGGAAAATGTGCGCACCTGCACGTAATCGCTGACCCATGCGTACAAACAATTTTTCCTGGAGTGAGAAAATGAATGACGCAAACAACAATTTTAAACTCATATCGATATACACATTTACATTAAATATTCCACTCTCATTAATGGAGATAAGCACTGAAATTGCATAAAGTCATTACGCAGAAGTTAAACCAAAATTATATGGATTTAGACACATTTGTAGTGGATGTGCTTGATCGCTTTTCCTGTGGTATGCTATGTTTTAATGACAGCGAGGAGTGCTATAGGTGCACAATAATTCCTATTTAAACTAAACGGCTGATCTCATGTTATGAGAAAATATTAGAGAGAACAATAATCAATGTTGCGCACTTACTTCGATATTATGGCAGATACTGTTGGATTTGGTTTGAATAGGTCTAATGATAATAACTTACTGTACTACTGCAGCTGCACGGAGGTGTTGATGTCGTGTGAAGACATCGCCACAACATTATGAAAAATAGCCTACCACTGTATTTGAAGGATACAACTTGAAGAAAACGGTAAGATTTACATGTTTCCTTTTTAAAATACTTTGTCAGTGACGCCCCGAGTCACACAATTGCATTTCCACTGCAATAAATATAGACTTATATGTTTCCACTAGAAAGAGCTAAAAGATGTTCAAAGTCCTAAATGTCTTAAAAGGAGACAGGGTGGAGATGCACTTATGCACAATCTTCCCCTGACCAGGATTTATAAGGGGATTTTTGCGCCGTTTCTGGCGTACGCATGGTATTATAAATCTGTAATCTAGCTTTTATGCATACGTACACTTTCAGGATGAAATCTATGGAGAGTTTTATAAATGAGACCCCAGTTCTGTATAAAACTAGCTCAATTAATTGTCTTTACACTTAAAGAAGTAGTTCACCCAAACTTCTTACTCACCACCATGTCATCAGTTAAATGTGAGCCAAAATCATCACAATTAAAAGAACCAAAGACTTAAACTACTTCAGTGTGTGTGCATTGAATTTATTTAATACACAAGTTTCACAATTTGAGTTGAATTACTGAAATAAATGAACTTTTCCACAACATTCTAATTTATTGAGATGCACCTGTATATGACTTCCTTTCTTCCTTATAACACAAAAGGTGAATTTCTGAATAATATCTTAGCCACTCTCTTCAATATAATGAAAGTGAAGAAGGACTTAGGCTGACAGGCTTCAAAATCACAAAAAGCAACCATACAAATGGCATAATGTGTTATATTTTAAGTCTTCTAAATAGTGAAGTTGCTATTCATCTAACTCTCCATGACACATTCATGTGAGTTCTTGAGAGAAGTAACCCCTTGTGAAAAAATGTGCTGTTTCTTAATACACTTAAAATGTAGACACATTTTGTCAAATTACTTTAAAGTGGTCATGAACTGAGAAACCAAAATTCCCTTGATCTTTTGACATGTAAGAGGTCATTGTACTATGAAAACACCACATAAGTTTCAGAACTCAAAACTTTGTCATTAGTCTAAAAACTTATTGAAGGCAGTCTGCCAAAAATTAAGCTTTAGCGTTAGTTCTGGCAGGTCACGTGAGTCAAGCTTGCATCAGCTGATTCTCAGCTGATCACATCTACCTATAGGAATACGACACCTATCGCGGCATTCCTATATAAGCTGTATTCAGTATTATTCAGCAGCTTTTCAGCTTGCTTCGGAGCAAATTAAGCATCGCTGCTCGCAAATCAAACTGTTGCAGCGTGTTTCAGAACATCTGAAATCCACATCAAAGATAAGTGAATGCTGTTTTAATCCATATCGCTATGTATATTACCTGGTCTGCTAATTGAAAAAAACGGGGTTATTATTGCTGCTCTCCCTGCTCATTCATGACAGGCTGCATGGATGGGCAGGGAGGTTTTTTGCCCAGAACAGAACCATACTGCCAAACCAAACTTTATGCTAAGTATCTATCATTTTGACGATAGTGGTCCTGACAGAACAACAGCTTTTGGTATGTTCTACTCTATGATGTAATAGTGTGGATAAGCACCGCCTCCGCAGAAGATGATCAACGCCTGCTTCAACATCTCTGCCTGTTTAGCCCCGTCCACCGATTTGCGCATATAGTGTTTATGAGAGTAGCAAATGCGCAGGTCTACGCAGAAACCAAATGATAAAGATGGCTCTGAAGACAACAAGATGCTGTGCAGTGCCAAGTTGTGGGAAAACAGTGTTTGCATTGCCTTCTATCTGATCCCAGTGTTAATAAAGAGTGAATGAACTTTATTTTTAATGAAGATCCAGATCGCGTCAGTAAGAACTTGGTCCTTTGTTCACTTCATTTTATTGTGGATTCATTTTCAAACAAGGCACAATTCAATGCAAATGCAATTCAAAAAGATGATGCTGTGCCGACTATATTGGATTCTTATGACTAACTGTTTTCATTGCGTGATCACTATTGCTTTCTCTTCTTGCAGATCGCTTGATATGTATTGAGTTATTTATGCATTTTTAGAATATTCTGGGATTTTTAATGCTTTATTGAACATCACAACTCACATAAAAAATGGAATACCAAGTGTAGAATACATAGATGTTTATGTTTTAACATCACCACTGGAGAATAAACTGATGTAAACACTACTTGCATTGCCAGGTTATTGTTTTGCATGTAAACCGGTAAATCTGGTTATTTCAATAAACATTAATCGGACTGATCCTTCAACAACAGTTGAAAATGATTAATAATAACTCATTAAATTTGATTTGTTCCTCACACTTTGCAATGTAGTGCATGATTTTCTGAAGCTTAAAAACGTCAGTCTACATTTGTTGTCACTGCATGAAAAAGAGTGAACAAACCATCCATCTATCCAAACCACTTATCCACTTAAGTAATGTCACAGGGATACTGGAGCCTAAGTGGCCAACTACATTATTTAAAATTTCTCATTGTGTTCAATGGAAGAAAGTAAGGTTTGGACCAGCATGAGGGTAAATGATGGGAGTGCAGGGAGCAAAGCATGAGCAAAGTTCCCAGCAGCCAAAGAAGCAGCATTACTCTTTAAATAATTAGCGGTGGAGAGCAGTAATAAAGTCACTTCAAAGCAATGACAAAATATCTGCCAGCAAAGCACGTTATACAATGTAGTGCCATCTACTCTAATTTAAGACTGAAATTACCTGATTTTAAAGCATCTTGAGCTTAAAATAGAGCAAAACTTTGCGACAGGCTGTTTTACGGTTCAGTACAGGGATAAGGTGGGTTTATGGATCTGATGGCTGTTACCGTGCCGTATAGTAAACATCCAAAGAGCAGGAGAAATGACACTTTCATTGGTCTTCTTACCTGACTACGCCCTGCCTTCACATGGTGAGAGAGAGGAGTGGAGTGCAGAGACAGACAGAGGAGTGAGGAAAATTGGAAAAGACAGACATGAGGGTAGCATGTCACTCAGAGACCAAGTGTTCCATGAATTCACACTCATTGTTTTCAATGTTTTTTAATTATTGTTCAACTCTTAATGTTCAAAATGCCCTGTTTTGGTTCAAATTGTTAATAAAACTTTTTAATACAACGTAATCTCAATTTTGATTTATCCCAGAGTTCTTAAAAACTAAAATTGCATATGCAGTAATGCAATTACAATGGAAATCTATAGGCAAGATAACTAAAGAAAGTAAATAAAACCCATTTAATGTATAAATATTGTGGCTATACCTTTGAAACAGAATGTGTTCTAAATACATGTGAAGAATGTATTGTAATACAACTGAGCATTATTTGAACTGTAAAATATCCAAACTTCTGTTGTCATTAAAAAATAAAGTTTAATGTTGTAGATCTTTATTTGTAGTGTTTCCTTTGCATTTGAATTAAGATGATGTTAATATAACAAATTTTTATAATTAATTTACATTTTTCAGACTTACTGGGGCCCCCCTGGAAGTTTACCATACTGTTCAGTGGATGAACTATTGGTAAGTAAGGTCACAGTTTTCATGTTAGCACATTTAATATTTTAATCTTGTGGTTTTAACCATGACCGTAGCCAGGGTTTGAAAATGAGTGAGGTCCGGGGTGGGGTTAAGAATTGCGCTATAAACTATTACACTAAATACGTACACAGACATGTAGATGTTTGTGAAAGATGTTTTCTCTGTTTTGGAGGGATACCATATTTATTGCATCAAAATTTGTTAGTATTTTAGGTTAGGGGTGGATCATTTTATCAGTTGTTTATTAATCATGCAACAATACATATTACTGTTATAGTTTTCATTAATAATCATTGATGATAACTTTGTCTAGTGCTCTTTATTAATGTTTTTAGTATGACTTTGTGAAAATGTAACTACTATAGGCTACTGAATGAAATAGCATAGACTTGGCTATTCCATTTCATTCTGTAACCTACTTGTCCTACAGATCTGTGTACTGGTGTTAAATGCTACTGTTTTTGGCAGCGCTGATAATGTTTCTGACAGATAATATCATGATATTTTTTTGTGTTTGCCTTACCAAATGTGGTATCCTGTCAGCAATAACCTTGGGCTTTTTTGATTACTGTCAGTTTAAGTGCAGGCAATGCAGTGTTGCCAGATATTACTATAAAAACGAATAAAAACCAAAAAAATAAATAAAAACAAACCAAAATTATTTAAAATCCTTGGAAATAAGATAAGATAAAGATATCACTGACCCTAAACAGCAACTTGATTAACTTTCTAAAGTGTCAAATTAAGGGAAAAAGACAAGTCCAAAAACACTTATAATAGCTGGATCTGGCAACACCGCCCGCGCCCTTGCTCACAACTCTCTCAAGACTCGTTCACTCCGCAAGCGTCTCGCAGCGATCATTTTCATACTACGAACATTCTTGCAAACTGTCTAAACTTGGAGACACTCCTATGAGGAGTTTTGCACAGCAAACTAGTCATTCAGAGAACAAATTTTACGAGGTCCGAACCTCTGTGACTTCATAGCTGTCTACGGGCCTGGTTTTACCTTTGAAACAGAATGTATTCTAATCACAGGGAAATGCCTATGCCCATAGACCTCTATTGTAAGTGCTTTATTGTAAATGCAATATTCAACAAGCAATTCAAAATTATTTTCTATGGTTAAAAAAAGAGAGATAAACTTATTTAATCAGGAACCTTCCTGTGAAAGACAGTTTGATATTCTGCTTTGGAAAGAGAGTTTAGTATTCCAACAGTAGCAGTAAATCGTTTGGCTTTAGAGAGTGTGCCACCAACATGAGTTTATTCAGCATGGTATACTAGTGGTAGAGTGGTGGTGAATTTGAAATACAAGAGTTTAGAGAAGCAATAAAGTGGATAACTAATGGCGCTTTTCCACTGCATGGTATGGCACGGTACGGTTCACTTTTGGGGGGGTTTCCACTGGGTACAGTACCTGGTACCTGGTACTTTTTTTAGTACCACTTCGGTTGGGGTTCCAAGTGAACCGTACCGTTACCAAAACGTGACGTGTAAACTCTGCTGATCACGGATTGACCGGAGAGAATCGTCACTACTTGCGTCACTGAACTTGCGACACAAACACAAAAGAATCGCTAGATTTAAATCAGCACAGCCAGCGAAGGATCGAACGCAACTGTTTTGAACGAGTGCACCTTTTTTTTAACAACCAAAAAGTTTTGTTGTCTGTTGCGGAAGTACGTTCCTCTCACTGATAGCAGAGGAGCGGATCCAGCGAGAGCTTGATGGGGCGATGCAGAATGAAAACGTTTTTTTAGGAGTCGCGGCAGTAGAGGCGGCGCAACTATAACGATATGTGAATAATCCCGCCCACTCTAAAGCGGTATTGAACTGCAGTGGAAACGCCGACCGTGCCGAGCCGAACCGTGCCGTGCTGTACTGAGCCGTACCTAGCCAAGTCGTACCACGCAGTGGAAAAGCGCCATAAGAGTATTCAGTTCTTCATGTTACATCTCTGACAGGGTTACTGCATTTCAAAATCTAATTTACTTGAAATCTATTCATTATAATTAGTCTTTAGATATTATTGGTAATGCAGGCTAATTTAATTAATGGCATAGAACACTGCATGTAACTCTATTGGTTGTAACTCGACTGAACTTTTGGGAAACTCACCCAAGTTCTGATAAGCAGACAACTATTTTACGCAACGGATAAATGTCCCAATATTAAAAGTATGTACTAAATGTAAAAAATAAATATATAATACATGCTGTCACACTGTCTGGCCTCTCGGCGGCCCTCGGTCTCATGGCTCCAGATCATCAGACAGGTGTCGGAGCCACCGATTGACGCCAGCAAAGAGTCGTCATGTGACCAGCGCACATTAGTCACATGGGTACTGTGGGCCATGTACCACTTAAACTTTGCATATTTTCCCTATTAAGATCAAGAGAATGTTAACATGTATGAAGGTAAATGATAAATGAAAATATCTGAGATTAGAGCCGCCTACGCTCAAAAAAGGCTAAACATCTATGTCATTTATAAGTGCATTTTTATATAGAGTATAGCCAAAAAATCATGGTTTCTTGTTTAAACCTATTTAGTTTAGTTTTTCTGAAAGCAACTTACTCTCCCCATAAAAAAAAATAAAAATAAACCATTTTGTTTCTTCCACTTCACTTCTTGTCTGTTCTCCGTACTCTGCTTACCAAAAATAAATAAATAAAATAGTGTTGATGTGCAGAACACATTTTGGCAAGCTTTAATGACTGCAGAACATTTTGTGGATTTTGTTCATTTTTAGTATAGAGTTTTATAGAGTTTTTAGTAAATAACATAAAATATAATGCATATTTTAAAAAGATATCAGGATAAAGATTTATTTACAGTAAGTAAACTAAATTAAACACTGACTAACAAAATATTGTTAGTTATAAATATATATATTCATTAATATATATATATATATATAATTTATTTCTAAGATTAAGTCAAAAATGTGAGGCTTGACCCACAACATGAATATAATTTGAGAAAAACTAATATATTTGTCTGTGACAAATATTTTTCCAAAGTATCATTTTTCAGAGTATCAAAAATAAAGTACAAAGTATCATTTTGTACAGAGTATACATAATAATCTAATCTAATAATCATATGAATCTTGATCCAAAATGAAAAAATCAATAAATAAAATATAAATATACAAATGTAAATATACAGTTCCCTCCACTATTGGCACCCTTGGTAAATATGAGCAAAGGCACCTGTGAAAATAAATCTGCAATGTTTAACTTTTTGATTTTTCATACCAAAACATTCACAAATTTCTAACCTTTCATTGAAGTAAAACAATTGAAAGTGTGTGTGGGGGGGGGGGGGTCTCATTATGAAAAAAAAGTTTTTCCCCCATGTTGGCCACAATTATTGGCACCAAATTATTGCAACATTCTTTTCCCAAGATAACAGCTCTGAGTTTTCTCGTGTAATGTCTGAAGAGTTTGGAGAACACCTGACAAGAGATCAGAGACCATTCCTTCACAAAGAATCTCTCCAGATCTTCCAGATTCACAGCTTCTTCTCTTCAGTTCTCCCCACTAATTTCAGGGTCAGGGAACTTGGACAGCCAGAAGCTTCATTTTGTGCTCAGTGACACATTTTTTTTGTTGATTTTGATGTTTGTTTGGATCATTGTTCTGATGGACGATCCAACCATGGCCCATTATAAGATTTCTAACAGAGGCAGTCAGGTTTACATTTTTTATCTGTTGGTATTTGATAGAATCCATGATGCTATCTATTTGAACAAGATATCCAGGATCTCTGGCAGAAAAATAGGCCCACAACATTAAAGATCCAGCAGTATATTTAACCGTGGGCATTGGGTTACTTTATATCCCTGTATGCACCAATCCCATCTGTTGGGTTTGCTGCCAAAAAGCTATTTTTTTTAGTTTCATCTGACTATAGAAGCCAGTGCCATTTGAAGTTCCAGTCGTGTCTGACAACTGAACATGGTGGAGTTTGTTTTTGGATGAGCGAGGAGAATTTTTCTTGAAACCCACCCAAACAACATGTGGTGATATAGGGGCTGTTTGATTTTTTTTTTTTTTCTTACCCTAAAATTGAACTAATCTCTTCAATTCTGTGATAATTTTGTGATCAATTGTGAACCAGCTGTGATCCTTGGAGACTCTTTGGGCACTCAAATTCTCCTTCTCACCATGTATTAGGATGATATAGACACACATCCTCTTCCAGGCAGATTTGTAACCTCCTAGTTGAATGGAACCTCTTAATTATTGCCCTGATGGTGGAAATGGGGATTTGAAATGCTTTAGCTATTTCTTTACAGCCACTTTCTATTTTGTGAAGCTCAACAAACTTGTTCTGCACATCAGAACTATATTCTTTGGGTTTACTCCCTGTGATGGATGATTAAGGGAATTTGGCCTTTGTATTCCTCATATTTAGAATCCTGTGGAACAGGAAGTCATGGCTGGACAATTTCATGCTCCTAGTCACCCTGGTGTGGTAAAAAATTTAAATATGAATAGGAATATACTTCAGAGATATTTTACTCATAAGAATTTCTAGGGGGTCCGATAATTGTGGCCAACATGCATTGGAGAAAAACATTCATTTCATAATGTGAGTTTCCCCCCACTTTCAATTGTTTTACTTCAATGAAAGATTAGAATTTGGTGAATTTTTTTAATGGAAGATCAAAAAAATAAACAATACAGATTTATTTTCATAGCCGCCTTTGCTCATATTTACCAAGGGTGCCAATATTAGTGGAGGGCACTGTATATCTAAATATCTTCTTTTGTGTTTCACAGGTTAAAAAAGACATTAATTATTTTTGGATGATTGATGACAAATTTATATGTTTGGGTCAACTATCCCTTAGTATGAGGGATAGTAATAATTAGTGATTAAATAAAATTTTCTTAACCTTGACTGGATGTTTAAAGAGCTTGACATATCCAAGGTCGTCCCCAGTTGCAAGCAACTTCCTGTCATTGCTAAGACATGCGGAAGTAACTTCGGTAACTTCACTGACCACAGGCCAAATTCCCTCACAGGAACTTCCAAGGACACATGTCCATGTGCTCCAGTCGATCTTGTCCACCTGAGGAAAGAAAGATTCATCAAGACGCAGACTAATTAAATTCCTATAAACACCAAGTGTTCCCCTAACCAGAACAATATGTAGAGTTTGTTTTAAAGCTGTATGTTGTACAAAAAACTGGCATCGAGCAAAACTTTTAATGAAAATGAATTGGCAGCATAAATTTCAATATTAAAATCCAACTCAATCCAACAAAGACTGTAGCCAAAATGCTTCCTACAGAAGCTGTGCACTTAGCTGAAGGCAGGAGATCAGAAACACTGAAGGGCATCCAGCTCTAACTAAATCTTAAGTTATTAACGTAAGCGTTCACTGTCTGTCCCAACGTAGCGGTGGCCTTAAGCACGGCCTAATTCCCTGCCTCCAAATTTAGAGACAAGCTAATGAAAAGTGGGCCATGTTCTTGCCCTTAAGAGTGCCCTTCCCCCTCCCAGGGTGACACACGGTGAGATGTTCAGGATCCATACCTCTGTAGCAGGAATGGTTTGCTTCTTCCCACGAGGGGCCTCAAAAAATAGCTGCTCCTTTGCCGATGTGTTGACCTGCAAAAGCTTCCCTAATACAAGAAAACAGAAAAGAGATGCTGAGATGTAACAAAACTTTTTCCTATGTCTCCTTTATTTTCTTTTGCTACTTTTCAAGGACTTTTATACATACAGTAGATTTTATTGCCTTTGACCTAAACTTAGACTTTCAATCAGACTCAATCATACATTAACCATTTCATTTTTTATTGTTTAAAAACTTCCAGCACAACAAACAACTGTGCAGCAAATAAAGATTTTTCTAAAGTCAGTGTAGTTTACCAAGGAGACAACAGTGTTAGTGAAGAGCCTGAGATGACATATGACATTTATAATATGTGAGAAAACCAAAAACAAAACAAAGAAATTGGATTATTGTCAGTATTAAAATTATATTTAATGGGGAGTATTTTGGATATATAAAAGTTTAGCTATAGCATTAGCCTAATCAAAACAAAGTCGGTCATTTTGTTCCCAAAATGCTAGAAAATGTAATTTCACATAGTTTTATAAAACATTATACATATATATATATATATATACGTATGTATATACATATACATATACAGGTGCATCTAAAAAAATTAGAATATCGTGAAAACGTTTTTTTTTGGTAACTTATTTCAAAAAGTGAAACTTTCATATATTCTAGATTCATTACATGTAAAGTACAACATTTCAAAAAAGAATTTAAAAATGTTGATGATTAGAGCTTACAGCTCATGAAAGTCAAAAATCTAGTATCTCAAAATATTAGAATATTTCCTAAGATCAATCAAAAAAAAAAAAAAAGGATTTGCAAAACAGAAAAGTTCAAGTTCTTTAAAGTATGTTCATTTATGCACTCAATACTTGGTCGTGGCTCCTTTAGCACAAACTCCAGCATCAGTGAACTGTGCCATGGAAGCGATCAGCCCGTGGCACTGCTCAGGCACTATTGAGCCTTCAGCTCATCTGTATTGTTGGATCGACTGTTTCTCATCTTTCTCTTGAAAATATCCCATAGATTCCATATGGGGTTGAGGTCAGGCATGTTGGCTGGTCAATCAAGCACAGTAATATCATGGTCAGGAAACCACTTGGAAGTGGTTTTGGCACTGTGGGCAGGTGCTAAGTCCTGCTGGAAAAGGAAATCAGCATCTCCATAAACCTTGTCAGCAGATGGAAGCATAAAGTGCTTCAAAATCTCCTGGAAGAAGGCTGCATTGACTTTGGACTTGATAAAACACAATGGACCAACACCAGCAGACGTCACAGCACCCCAAATCATCACTGACTTCAGAAACTTAAAGCAGCTTGGATTTTGTGCCTCTCCATTCTTCCTCCAGACTCCAGACCATGATTTCCAAATGAAGTGCAAAATGTACCTTTATCTGAAAAGAGGACTTTGGACCACTGAGCAACAGTCCAGTTCTTTTTCTTTTTAGCCCAGGTAAGATGCTTCTGATGTTGTTTCTGTTTCAGAAGTGGCTTGGTAGCCCTTTTCCTGAAGACGTCTGAGCGTGGTGACTCTTGATGCACTAACTCCAGCTTCAGTCCACTCCCTGTGATGCTCTCCTAAGTGTTTGAATTGGCTTTGCTTGACAGTATTCTTAAGCTTGTCATCCCTGTTGCTTGTGCACCTTTTCCTACCCAATTTCTTCCTTCCAGTCAACTTTGCATTTAATATGCTTTGATACAGCACTCTGTGAACAGCCACCTCTTTCAGTAATGACCTTCTGTGACTTACCCTCTTTTGGAGCTTTTCCACTGCATGGTATGGCACGGTTCACTTTTGGGGGGTTTTCCACTGGGTACAGTACCTGGTACCTGGTACTTTTTTTAGTACCACCTCGGTTGAGGTTCCAAGTGAACCGTACCATTACCAAAACATGACGTGTAAACTCTGCTGATCACGGATTGGCCGGAGAGAATCGTCACTACCTGCGTCACTGAACTTGCAACACAAACACAACAGAACCGCTAGATTTAAATCAGCAAAGCCAGGATCGAACGCAACTGTTTTGAACAAGCTCACCTTTTTTAATAACCAAAAAGTGGCTGTTTTGTTGTCTGTTGAGGAAGTACAGATGTTCCTCTCGTTGATAGCAGAGGAGCGGATCCAGTGAGCTTGATGGGGCAACACAGAATGAAAACGTTTTTCAGGAGTCGCGGCAATAGAGGCGGTGCATCTATAACGACATGTGAATAATCCCGCCCACTCTAAAGCGGTACTGAACTGCAGTGTAAAAGCAAACCATGCCGAGCCGTGCCGTACCGTACCATACTGAGCCGTGCCAAGCCGAGTCATACCACGCAGTGGAAAAGCGCCATATGTGGAGGGTGTCAATGATTGTCTTCTGGACCATTGCCAAGTCAGCAGTCTTCCCCATTATTGTGGTTTCAAAGAACAAAAGATACCTGGAATTTATACTGTAGGGATGGTAATTTAATGAAACTCAAAACTAAATATTCTAGTATTTTGAGATACTTTTTTGATTTTTGACTTTCATGAGCTGTAAGCTCTAATCATCAAAATAAAAAAATAAAAAACGTTTGAAATAATGAAACTTTTGTAATGAATCTAGAATATATGAAAGTTTCACTTTTTGAAATGTTTCAAATTTTTTGAGATGCACCTTTATATATATATATATATAATTAACAAGTGTAAAAAGTGTTTTTAAAGAGTTGTAGAAACAATAAAATGAAAATTTTAAATTTTTTGCTTTGAAAGAAATGTTGTAAAGCATAGTAAAAGGAGTTGGTGTGATTCAAGGCAACTTCGAGAGCACTTTTGTGCTCTGTAGAACATCTCACAGCAAATGGAATGTACTGCTAGCTGAAAAAAGTGTTCTTTGACATTTAGAAACTGCGTTTTCTTGCAACTAAAAAATTAACATTCTTTGGGGAAAATCATTTGTATATAAACTGCAGCAGTGTACAATGCAACATATCACAAACAAGATGATGTCAAATCAATGCATGAATCAAACTCTCTTGAAAAATCCAATAATTTTCTGACACGTTTTCCATCTTGCCTACTCAAAACCACAGTAATTAACAGGACATGGATAACGAGAACACACAAGAGATGTCTTTACTTCAACTAGTCTCCACATTGCATAAGCGTATAAAGTTATATATAAATCAGACACATTGCATCCATCACTATCACTATCACATTGCCTGAAATCCCCAACTCGCACTAAAGAAGAATGACTTCTGGTTGCTTTGTTGCTGCAAAATGCTGTCAGTGTGAACTTCCCTTGACTCCTTTGCTCTCTGAAATACAGCGTTTGTGTCTCGTATCCATCTCACCTCTCTTGTCCCAGTCCAGATGGGTGATGTAGTTCATGGAGCCTTTGCACACTCCAACCCTCTTGCTGCTCATCACGTTGTAAATATCCACAAAGCTGTCACCTGAAGCCACAGCCAAATACTTGCCTGTTACTGTAATAAAAATCAGTTTTTCAGTTTTGAGCCTTACCACGACCCAGCTATCACATTCTTATTAATGTTAATATATTCCTGAAAGTATTTGTTCATTACATTAGCATATGTGAATGTACATCATACCGAATAGATCAGATGAAAGAATTCTTGTTTCTCAGTACTCAAAGCATTTCCATTGTACTGATATTAGTGTGTTAACTAACCAGGAGAGAAGCGGATTTCTGATATGATGTCTTTGCGGTGATGAAATGACACCAGGTCTTCTAGAGTGTCTGCGTTGACGATAAGGAAGCTACCATCATTGAGGCCCACGGCCAGAGCTTTCCCATCTGGAGAGAAGCAGCAACATCGCCCACCTGCACAAAGTTATAAGTGTTAAATGCTGTCACATCAAGCATGACAGCTAATCAGATTGATTCTCTTTATAGCCACATATGAATGTCGAACAATGGCCAGGTAGTAAGCAAAGGGTTAGTTTAAATACCACCCATTATTTCTTCACATTGTTCCAAACCTGTATGACTTTCGTTCTTCGGTGAAATGCAAAAGGAGAAGTTTAGCAGAATGTTCACACTGCTCTCTTCCATACAATAAAAGCATAAGGTGGCGTTCACACAGAACACTTTTCCATTGTTTTTCTATGTAAACATGCTAAAAAGACATGTTTGACTTTCGCGCTCGCATCTTGCGTCTTTTGAAGTATTTCATTCATGACGTGGTGTCCTGATAACACAGCATTTAAAATATGTTCAACTTTTAAAAAAAGGCTTGTCAACTGTCAACACCAAAACTAAAAAAAACAAACATGCAACATAAAAGTTATATGAGATTATATGAGATGATAAATTCATGTGCAGCATTTACAATTATGGATTTTAATGTTTTATTTTTCATTTATTTTGAAAAAATTGTATAGGATTTTAATATCGGCCATAACATAAACGTAATATTGGCCATAACATTTTCTGTCATCAATTACACACTCTGATGTGGTTCCAAACCACACTTTGGAAAAAAACACACTTTGCATGTGACTTGAAATGAAGACTATACTGGAGGGTACGCTTTCAGTAAATATCAATCTGTTTTTCGCAAAAAGATCAAAGAACAAATGTCGAATGGTGTACTTTTATCTAACTTAGGAAGAATCTCAACGGTCTGGAACAACATGTGGATAGAATTTAAATTTTTGGGTGAAATCTCTTGAACCCATTACACAATCCTCTAATCGCTGTCAAATAAGTTTTCATTGTTCATTATCCATGCAAGTAAATATACAAAGACCCAGTGTACTCTAAGGATAATAATCATAATATAGTTTAATTAGGGTTGATGAAGGAACTGGTCTATCAAGCATTATTTGATTAAATCACTGGTGTACAGAGTATCTTGAGCAGCAGTCGTTCCTCAACAAAAATTAACTACAACCATTCCCTTTAGAGATTCTGCCCTCAGGCAATCAATATGCTCTTAGGGCTAATTTGCATGATGAGTGTTCTTCACTTAAGTTATATTTTTCAGCGCAAATTGTGTTTCTGAAGCATAACGAGGTCAAGCATTGTGTAGGCTAAGCTTGGAATACAAATCACAAGAAGAGAACATAGATAAGGATATTTATATTCAGACAGAGGAGTGTTTTGTAGACAGTAATGCATGTGTGCTTCGAATTTATGTCACTGAAAAACAAGCTAGTGAAGAACTGTAGCTGGTCATACAGTTATTTCTCCTTGTTACATCATAGTAGTTATCCTTAGCATGGTTTAATTGCTGTAAGGTTGCAATATTATACGGATGGAATAGATCACATGACTTTGACATGCTTTCTTCTGCAGAACACGAAAGAAGATACACCAAAATACACTTTTGGTTACCACTGACATTTACTGTATGGAAATAAACTGAAAATTTCTCACATTTCTCAAAACATGCTCCACAGAAGAAAGAAGGTTTGGAAAGACAAGAGGGTGAGTAAATGATGACAGTTTTTGGGGTCTATTCCTTTAAGGAAGCCCTGTACAATTAAGTTGGAGACCATTTGTAGAGGTCTTGAAATTGATTGTTTAGGGATATGTATTGATGTAAAAACTGATTTACAAAAAAAAAAAAGAATTTAAGTTACTCTTCAAATCCTTGTGAAATAGAAGTGTTCTTAATTGTAATTAATGTGCATTTGTTGTCTACTTCAAATCTTAAAAGTATAGTTTTATACAACTGTACATGGAGATAAAATATAATTGAATTAAAGGCCAATTAAGTACACTTTTTTGGCACTTTTACGTATGTTTCTTAACATACTTAAAAAGTGCATGTCATGATCATTTGAAATTAAACGTTTTACTAAAAAGTTTTATATTACATAAAAAATATAGTACAAAAATGTTTTACTATAAATTAAAGGTTTTAGTGTATACTATAAATTTGAAATCATTATGTTTTTGTCATACTTTCAAGAAGTACACTTATTAACATACCGAAACATATACTTGATTCATATTTTAACTGTAGTGTGTTATTTGAAATTACATTTAAATATAAATGTTTTAATATTAATATTTTAATACATTTATGTTTTAAATATACTAAACTGTCATTATTACAGATGTGTAATTTCAAATACAAAAACAATTTAAGTGGGTAAAAAATTATTCTTTCGACTTATTACATTTAGTATAAATTTAAACTATAATATATTTTCATTTAATTGTAGATAACAAGCATCCAAAACCATTACATTTTGTTCACACGTAAATATATTATTTCTGCAATTAGTACCTTTTTCAAAAGTATGCTACAGGTATATAGTACTTCTTTTTCACGAAGGAAAATTACCAATATTTTTTTTCCACTGAAGTTTATAAAAAACCATCTTAACACTCTTAAATTCTCAAGGCAAGGAAGAACTGCGAAACTAGTTCAATGACACATTCTTTAGGAAAATCATTGCAAAACCACATTGTACAGTAGCTTAATTTTAGGGTAGCAGTAAAATGCATTGTGAATATTCAATATATGACCCTGCCCTAGCCCGTTGTTCCAAATCATCCTTGTTACTGTATGCTGTTTTAAGAGATTATTGAGCTTTACTTTTATTCATATAACAATATTTGGTAATCACTTTAATTTGTAATTGTGCTTGTTACACTACTATAGTAATAACACTAATTTATGCAGGATTACAAGTAACAAGAACTAAACAAACCTCTAATCCTAAACCTATAGTAAGTACACACTCTTAATTACTATTGCTCAGTACTCACTAATTAATTTAGAGAACTACAGACCGGTTTCCCTTCTACCTTTCACTGCAAAAACACTCGAACGAGTTGTGTTCAACCAAGTCTCAGCCTTTCTCACACAGAACAACCTCCTGGACAGCAACCAATCTGGCTTCAGAAGTGGACATTTGACCGAGACTGCCTTGCTTTCAGTTGCTGAAGCCCTAAGACTGGCAAGAGTAGCTTCCAAATCTTCTATACTTATTTTGCTGGATCTGTCTGCTGCTTTTGATATGGTGAACCACCAGATTCTCCTGTCAAACCTATTGGAAAATGGCATCTCAGGAACCGCACGCCAGTTGTTTGAGTCTTACCTCTCAGATAGGTCCTTCAATGTAAAAGTGAACGGCGTATTATTGTGCCATCTCAAAGAGGCACAAAATCACTTTCACTGACTTTTTCATTAACTGGTCCCTCCTGGTGGAATGACCTGCCAAAATCAATTCGAGCAGCTGAGTCCTTAACCATCTTCATGAAATGACTAAAAACACATCTGTTCCACCTTTATTTGACCCTCTAACTCTAACACTTTATATTCTATTTTAATTCTACTTTATCTATATTTATCTTCTTATTTTATTTTATTTTATTTTTATTTTTTTAAACAACAACAAAAAACAAACAAACAACCACTAGCTTTCTATTTTATCTATTCTATCTACTTGTTTTTCTTTGTGTGTGTGTGTATAATATATATATATATATACACCTTGCTACATGTACTGCATTAGGCTAACCGAGACTTGTCATTTGCACTTATATATTGCAGCTCTTTTGTTAGTTTTGACTGCTTTTATTGTCCTCATTTGTAAGTCACTTTGGATAAAAGCGTCACTGTAAATGTAAAATGACATGGAAAAAGCTGCAGATTCTAATGAGTAATTAGTAAACATCTTCTTACCTTTCTTGAGTTTGCGTACGGCGAGCATGCAGTGGCTGGGGGAGAGATCCCATATGCGCAGGGTCTTATCGTCGCTCACAGTGGCACACAGTGGCAGATGCGGGTGAGTGGCAAGACCCCAGACCTCACCCTCCATGTGGCCCTAAATACACCCCATACACACACACACACACACACACACACACAATTTAATACTAACACATCAGCATAACTGTCATTCTTTTCAGCACAAACACATCTCCTTTCTTATGCTCATGACAGACATCAAGCTTTTTCCACCTGAAAATTGTATTTAAAAGAGTATATCTACATTTTTCTAGTGAGCATGGTGGCAGTGATTCATCAAAGGAAGGAGCAGGCCATTATAACTGGGCATATATCCAGTCACATGGTGTTAAAGAGCTGATTCAGGAGCCTGGAAAACAGTGGTGGAGTAATGCTGTACAGTCCCAGTAAAGTACGCCAGATCATGATAGTCTGCCGTATCCTCCGCAGTCTTTACCTCGCAGTCTATACCTGATTTGCATTTCTTTTTAGCGAATCGTATGCTACAATAATCCACATGCAAATAAACAATACTGTCAGCAGGCACAACTCATTTTTAGAGAATTTCCCCTAGTTTATTCTGACGCACCCAAGGGATCCATAAAAGGTTTTCCGGAAAAGCATTTCAGAGTGCAATAAATAAGAATTCAATCAAGCTCAAATGTTTTCTAGCAGCAAGTAGGACCTATAAAAATCTATGACTAAGGCTTACTAAATGCAGAGTTTTGTTGTTGTTTTTGTTCATTTCTACATCCTACTAATCACTTGATAAATTAACAAGCTAGATAAATCAATGGAGGGTTTGCACCAACTGATATATAACATTTAGTAGGTAAACAATGACTTCAATAACAAGCACCAACCTGTAATTAATCACTGTGTCTAGCTCTAAAACTCAAGCCACACAGGCAAAAAAGACACACATTTCATCATTGCCCAAAAACCAACTACTTTGCTAAACCATGGCAGTCTGAGTACAGAAATACTGGAAAACTACTATTTTTGCCCAGTCTGCAGTTACTGCCGTTTACCATTTATTACATAACAACAGCCTCGGACCATTTTGTTTGTCCCTGAAGTGGAACTGGAGCAATTTAGTTCCAGTGATGATGGCAAAACTGTTGTGCAGAACACAACATTACAAAGTGGTTCAGTGGTGAGGGCAGGTGGAGAGACAGACACTTGACTGACTCATTCATTCTCAGGGTCATTTACAGGTGCTGCTGTAAGGAAAAAAGGTTTTACAAAGTAGATTTGTATGTCTAGAAGAACATAACACTGTTTGCACGACAGCGGTAAGGAGAAAAAAGTCTAAAAAAATCCAAGTATAGGTAGTAGGACAAAGAATGACATAATGGCATATGTAATACAGGAAGTTAATTAGATGTATTTTGCACAATTCTGTATAGAAACAGGCCTAAGAGAGAAGACCTATCACAGTTCAGTATGCAAATACTACAATTATATGACCAATGTTTTTAAAGACAAAAACAGATGGCAAACTTAAGACTGACATTTCTAAAAATCTGTTCTAAACAGCTGAAGAAAATTAAATGGTTCAAACTAAATTAAACACAACAGAAAAATGCCTTGAAACCACCCTAACAAAGTTTATAATGTATATATATTACTAGAAAAAATTACTATACTAATAGTATAAACCATAAACCACAAGATCAACCAATGAAACATCAACCTTCTAAAAGGTTAATAAGAGTTTTATTTTCTCTTGCAAAGCTCATTATGCCTCAAATGTAAAGAGCTACTGTGTTGTGATTTAAATAGATGAACTGTAATGGGGATTGAACGTTTCTTAACGGTTGTTTTTGGTCAAGTTTTTTAAACGGTTGTGTAATACATATTACCAGCTCACTGTCATAATGAACAGATGCAGGTGTTGTCAGACATATCAAAGAGGCTTTTTTGAGTCTGACGGATAAAAAAGCCTTCATGTTGTTGCACAAGGAATGTGCAGACAGTTCCGGTCCTTGTCTGATGATTGGATGAGCCAAGTTGTTGTAAAATACTCTATAAACACACACCTGTGACCTATAAACACCAGTATTACTGCACTACTGCATTGGTTTCTTGCTGCTTCTGTGTGTTGCTTGGTAACTCTTCTGCTAAACATTACTGGAGAACATCACATTCTGCCTATTAACTCCCCTTCACTGTTCTAAAATCACTGTAAACCATGGCTTCTTTGGGCTTATCACTTTAATGTATGCATATGGCTTATTCACGAGTGCATAATTTAATTGAGGGAAGGCATGAATCTGTTTTAACAATTTAGCTCGTTAGGGAAAAACACAGTAATAATCTTTAAACAATCCTTTATTTAGTCTTATTTCTCAGAGTGTTTTTTGCCCCCATGTTTCATGGCTTGTCATGCTAATCTGACAGCTGAATGGCCTTACCTGAACCAGAAGAGTGATGGGCCCATTTTTGTCCACCTCCAGAATCTCTCCGTTTTTTGTTCCTACAAGAATATGCCCATGACCCAAAGATATGGCACGAATGGAGGGGTTGTCCTCTAAAAGCAAACCTGCAGGAAGGGACATGTTATAAATAAACACTCATCCATGACCTTGGCTTTCTATTTATTAAACACACTGAATGTTCTTTGAGAATGCATGGAGGTTTTTGAATGGCTTTAACTGCATAAGTTATTCACACTGTTGAAGCTACACTGCAAAGACAGTGTAGCTTAATTAGTATTTTTGTCTTGTTTTCCAGTAAAAAATGCAAAACAGTGTACAATAAAATAAAAGACAGACAGACAGACAGACAGACAGACAGATAGATAGACAGACAGACAGACAGACAGACAGACAGACAGACAGACAGATAGACAGATAGATAGATAGATAGATAGATAGATAGATAGATAGATAGATAGATAGATAGATAGATAGATAGATAGATAGATAGCCTTTGAAATAATGCAAGAGATGCCCTCACCTTTGGAGCCTGGGGCCAGCACCGCTCGTTTTATGGCATACGTCTTGAGGCATCTCTCAAACGTGTCGTCCCACAAAGCCACTATTCCATCCTTTCCACCAGTCACAAAACCCTTAGTAACAATACATTCACATTATATTTCTGAAATATTTAAAGGGACAGTAACTCAATCTTATTTCCTATTTGAAGCTAAATCTGATACCTTCTCCAGGGCGTGCATGCTAAAAACAGGTCCATCATGAGCTTTGACGGTTTTCACCAGGAACATGTCTCTCCAGATGCAGATGTCTCCAGTGCAGGTTCCTGAGAACACCATTTCTTCCGTCCAGCCGTATACCGCGCTCATCATTGTTTCGGTTTTTCCCATGCTGCCCTTCTTCCCAATCAGTCCACCGCCTGAGAACAGCACAGGTTTGTGAGATGATCTCTAACAGGGGAAGTGTACTGATTCACATACTCCACAAGACATGCACAAGATGTCCATGTGAATCCGTATGCATTTGAAAACACTTCTTTTCCTCTAAGTTTTGGCCTTTTGTACACATTAATACACAATTAATAAAAAATTGACCTTTTTGAAGATGTTCTCCCAAGTGAATACATTTAAAAACACTGTATTCATGTGTGGACTGTAAAACAGACGAATTTAAAAACGATGATGCACATTTGCTTCAAATTGTACCCCTTATGTATCTAAGTTTGTGCCACAATGTTGCGCCTGCTATTCAAATTGCCCAAAATAATGTTGCTAAAGATAAGCATTACTTTGTAGAATCTTCATATTTCATTTCTGCAAAGTTTACAGAATATTTACTCACAATTGCTATTCTGTGGCAAAAGATGATGACAGTTGCATTTTAGTGTATGTTACATGACAATTATATGCTAAAAATGGGTAAGCTTTACAGACGACAATGTTGTCAAAATGATCCTGATCACACGGATCTGTGAAAATGACTTAAAATGCTGTATTATACATGCCATAACACACAATACGCATGTGCATGACATTGTTTTCACATTTGTGTTTTTGTAGTTTACTCAAGAGACAATAATGGTATAGTTTTCAAAAACGTACACTTACGCAATTATGCCAAGAAATGCTGTTTTCATGTAAATGAACGGCCAAAGTGCATAAAAAGTTTAACATTTTTTGGTGAAAATGGTGTTGTGTAAATTCCCCCTAAGACCACACATGGAATGACAATTTTGAGTGCGACCTGTGTCATCTGAATGAACGACTTTTGGAAAACACTAACAAATTTTTTGGATGGAGAGCATTTTGAAATGAAAGCACAATTTTCAAATATATCCGGATTCATATGGACATAGCCATAGACCTACCTGCTCTGTGCCAAAACTTCATGTGTTTCACTCCAGCGGTTATCAGTTTGTCTGGCATATACGGGTTGATTTTAATGACAAATATTTTGTCTTTACTTCCCCTGTAAATAAAAAGAGAGACATTTACAGTATGTTGTTGAATGTATTTGGGATTCTTTTGCTGACACCAAAAAGGATGAACTGAACAGCCCTCGATCTTTTTTAAGAGTTTAAAGGTTTGCAATCGGCACTGTAGGGCTGTAATTGACCTGTCTGCTGTGCTGTTTCCACTGTCTGAGTGCCGGTGGGGAATTTAGCAGCACGGAGGGCAGTGGCGATTTTGCATTAGGCCCGATGTGGAGCGGGCAGAGCACTGAGCAGTGACTACACTGTCAGGCCCTATTTACTTCCACCCGCACAAGAATCCTCTCTACCAGAGAAAGCCCCAGGAAGGAGTCGGCTGGAGCTCTGCACTACCTATGAACTCAAGAGCATCCAGACAGGGGAATACAAACGCTTCAAAGAGCAGGTATGCACTCTTTGAAACCTTGCTATATTACCGCAGTAAACCAGAGACAGGATGTACATTACAGTGTTTTTAACAGGTTAAAGAGTTGAAGTTGGATGTAATGGTAGCAACAGCTGTTTTACACAAGATTTTGACATTTTCGTAAGAAATTCTAGGTTGCCACCACATTCCAAGAACATTGTGGATGCTTGCCAGAGCTTTTCTGTGTAATACTTAAGGCTAGTAATAATAACGTTTTGAATGTGGTTTATATAGGTTTTAAAAATAGAACTTGTGTTAGGCAAGTTTTAAAGGTTCTTAAAATATTAAGACACCCATTTATATTGGGAAAAATAAAATAGTATAAATATGTGCAACTCTCATGTTTTCTGACCAGTTTAAATGTAAGTAATTGTTCCTTTTTTATTTGATTTATTTATTTAGTTATTCATTTATTTATTTAACACATTTTCTCTGAAATATTCTATGGACCCTTGCGGCTCACTGTGTGGGATTTTAAAAGCCAGTTTCTAATGCCAAAGTCAAAGTCAAATATAAGCACTAGAGATACAACACCAATACTGCCATTTAAATTAACACAACACACCAAATAAATAAATAACTAAATACAATTTTAATTAACATCTAACACAGTATTTTGGGACAGAAGGATAAAACAATCCCTTAGTTAGTGGGAAAAAGTATTTCAAAGTATTAAAAAGTGTCATTAAAATTTTTGGCTGCTTGGTGAAAATGGATTCTGATATGTGATCCTGTGGCTCAGTGGTAGAGCATTGCGTTAGCAGTGCAATAGGTCGTGGGTTTGATTCCCAGGGAACACACATACTGGTAAAGAATGTATAGCCCGAGTGCACTGTAAGTCGCTTTGGATAAAAGCGTCTGATAAATTATAATTAAAATTATATGGGAGATATCAAATTGCTTGTCTCTTTTTTAAATAGCCAATAGGGGTTTAGTTTACACCACAGATTCGCTTCTAGTTATTAATAGTCAATTATATAGGTAATACTGGAAGAGGGAATTCATTCTAGATACAATTTTATTGGACAGATATTTTTGAGTCATCAATATTGTTTTTATTTATTTTCCTGTAAGATGATTACTGTGACTTTCACATGCTTATATCTGCCAAAAGTGTATTTTGTCAGTTTTTAGGAGCACACTAGCACATCATTTGCCCCAAGCAAACAAACTTGGACTACAACTTTAATGAAGCAAAGCAGGTATTATTCACTCACCGGATGGTGGAGAGCTTCTCTCCTTTTCTCCATTCCCAAAGGACGATGGTATGATTGTCATCCAGACCCACTGAAGCCAGCCTCTTCCCATCCGCTGCAGAGACAGACATCATAAAGTACGGCTCTGTTTATACTCAACATCAGCCAAATAATAGCATGTATATCATGTAATGATTTTATACCATCTTCACCCTGCTAACAATGAAACAAGATGTCTCAAGTAATACAATGTGACAGCATCGCTCCAGTGGAAATTTTAATTGGATGGCATCTAATGAGAATAATCATTTATGCTTAGGCCCATGACATTGACAGATACTAGGAGGCTCTGTTGTTTTAGCTTTACCAAGAGAAGCTCTTCTATAAATCTGACCCTTTGATTTTAAACACGAAATTTGTCTCGTTTAACAAATTGTAGATCTGTTCACAAAGAATGTTTCAGCGATTTCAGAATCAATACATACATAATAAATAAATGTGATTGGTGGTTTTACATATTAGCCACATGGACTATTCCTGCATAAATGGGCAGTTTATAGCAAGAATAATCTGCAAAATGGAGAAGAATATGTAGCAAAGTCTGTATGTGCAAGACTAACAGGCTTTCTGCAGCTTACACAGTCAAGGCCAAGTCATGGGTTTGATTCCCAAGGAATGCAATAACTAATAAAAGTGTGTATACCTTAAATGCAATGTAAGTCACTTTGGATAAGAGTGTCTGCCAAATGCATAAATTTAATAGAGATCAGAATATGGAAAGTTTTGAAAGTATGAAATCCACTGTTACAAATCCTATTCAGAGCTGTTACAGATAGATAAAATGTCATCTTCTGAGTGTCAAACAGTTCATGCCTCACTGTTAAGAAAATATAACAAAAAGAAAGATTCAAAAAAAAAATATTCCTTTTGATTCTATGTTCCACTCAAAGCTTCCTTTGTTTCACGCAAAGAACAACACACACACACACACACACACACAAAAGGTGGCTGACCTATTTTTTTACAGACTGGAAATACTATTCTATTCATACTTTGATTCAGACCATGAGTCATACTATTTTATGTGTCAGAAAGTGGAGCTATTTGTTCAGTTTGGTATTTGAAGGATAATTTTAGTCTCCTAAAGTCTTCTTTTTGTAGTATACTTTGGCTCTTCACTCCCCTTCATAAAGAATATACACTATAATTCAAAAGTTTGGGGTCAGTAGGAATTTTTTAACTTAAGAAATGAATACCAATTTTTATCGAGGATGCATTAAATTGACAAGAAATATTGACATGAAAAAGTGAAGTTCTTTTAATCTTTAAATCAGCAGTAATAGTTATGTTGCCACTAATAATCTGGATACCAGACTTGACCTCAAGGTGGGGCTTTTTTTCACAGTGCATACCTGAGAAGTCAAGTGCGCACACCCCAAACTGGTGGAATCCTTTAAGAACAGACAATGGCTTCAAAAACTCTGTTTCCCATATATGAATAGAAGAATCACGGCCCACCTGGATAAGAAACAAACACAGATAATTAAAATGCCCTGACCATAAGCTGAACTAAATCTATTCTATTCAGGAGAGAAACATCTCTGCTCTGTGTGCTGTTGATGACAAAGACAGACGTTTGTGCAGCTGACTGTACCTGGCCTGTGGCTACATAGTCTTTGACGGGGTGGATGGCCAGACAGAGAATGTCATCATTATGGCCCAGGTAAAAGCGCTGTGTGTTCTGCTGTCTGTTGTACACCACTCCCACAGCCGCCACATGATACACAATCTCACCGGTCTGAGTGTAGAAGAGGTTACTTCTGCAGTCATAACCTCTGTAACTGAAACACACATTTACACACACACATATTACAAATGTCTCCTCGATCATAGCTCATCCTATACCCTATACTAAAGTCACTTGCATGCATGGATGTACATATCTATCTGAATGTAACTGTATTCAAGCGAATTTGAATATTTCCAAATCTTCTGAATCCATTCACCAAAACAATTTGCTCTGTAATGACATAACTAAGCCAGTAGGTGGCGACAAGTGAATGTTTTTTTTAATCATGAGTGAGCCACTGAATAAGGCACTCGACTTGTTTAAAAAACACAATTTTATGAAATGAGTCTTATTATACTTTATCAAAAATTGCATGTACAAATCTACCAAGAGACTCCAGAAAGACAGAAATTCTGTCATTCTGTCACCAGAACATCTAGTTATGACATTTTGATGAGGCCATGAATGATGCACAGATGAATTGTTCAAAATAAGATCTGTAATATGTATTTTTTTTTAAGCAAAAGGTGAATTTTCATTTCATGCTGACTTTGAGCATTGAGATACAAATTACAACAAAGCTTTTTTTATTATTATTATTTTTTATCCATTTTGTAAACTGCAGAGCATAACTTGTATCAAGCTTTAGAAAAGCAACACTGGCCTAAATACATTTCATGATGTCCTTACATCTATTTAATTGTTTATGATCATCGTCATTTTTAATCATTTTTCAGTCTCCGCTTACAGCGCTATAAATGCATTAGTGTCGTTTCTACTTATTTCAATAAATGGACAAATAGATAGAGACAAACAAATGGGATTTTATCCTGTGACCTAAATTGCCTTGCTTCTGTAAACCATTGAGTAACCTCATCTAAGTATTTTCTTCAGCATCATCTCTTCATCCTCTAAAAGCAGATCCAGGTCTATTCTAGCAGCCAATGCACAGCTTCACTGGGCAGCATTGCAATTACAACTGTACTGTTCTTAGACTTTAATCCATAACCCTCAATCCATCTAATGACCTATGGACGCATTTGAAACAAATGCTACACATTTGCAGTTCACCTTAATGCAGCTGTGGTTGTCATTTCAGGCCTTTGAGTTCATCTGAGGGTTTTTGAGAAGGAATGTGATAGGCAACTGTGTTGTGAGTCCAACCCAGATCAGTTTCCAGGACAACTTCTACACTGGTGAACAGCACAAGACAGCCTTTCACTTTCTTCCCCGACTCCAACTTATCTCAGAGTAGTTGGAAAGCATGAGCTTGTGGGCATAGTTTTAACTCCCTTCAGTCTGCCATGTAAAGGGTGAAAAGGAAAGCAGACAGCATGGTTCCTGAGACACCTCAGCGTTGGTCACCATCTTCTCCAGAACACAGCTGGAGGCTGTCAGAAAGCTCTAGAAATCCAGCAGACTTTGGGGGTGTCCACATGCATCACTCTGAGCTTTGTCTGAGTCAAAGAGGATGTTGAAGGTATTGGTCATGTCAAAAAACATCAACCTGGAGACAACCTTCATAAGATCTGTGAACTGACAGCAACTGCTCTATAGTCTCTAAGGGTAACTAAAATTCATCTTTGGGACTGAAACTGTCACTTGCCAGAGCTGTGTTATGCATATGTTTAGCTAAATAAACTTTTGATTTGCAGGTGCATAAATAAATAATGAAAAATAAATGGAGACCTCTTTACACTGTGTCTACACCAGATGTGTGGTTTATTCAAAATGAAATCACTCCCATTACAATCCCCATAGGTTTATTTACACATATCATGCTTTGAATTTTAATCTTAATCTAAACATAAAGTTGGTCTATTTTAAATATGTATTTAATAGCATTTTTAATTAGTTTTTTACTAAGTAGCCTATTAGTAATGAATATCAATACTGTTACTGATGTCTCTATTTCCCCCTCAATTTAGCCATTAATTACAGCCATTCAACGCTGCAGTATAACTTTAAAGCCATTGTTTTTAACATTTAATAGGCTTTGAAATGTAATTTTAATTTTAATTTAAGTGAACTTAAAACAATCTTCATATAAACTATAAACTGTATATGCATAAACTTTAAATTTAATTATAGTTTTTTTTTAATTGCTTTGGCACATTTTTAGAAACAGTCTTAACTATCTCTAAACTGTAAGTGCAATTGTCAAAACTATTTGCTGAAACATCAGAACCCTATTGCATGTGTACAAAATGTAGTAACTCACCCAAAACATTTAATTCATGCATCAAAACCTAGTTATTCTATTCTATTCTATTGAAACTCAGTGTTACAGTGGTCACAGTGGTCAAGCTGTTTGTAACACAAATTGTGTTACAAACAGCTTTGTGTACAAACTGTACACTATATGTTTATGTTTGGGAGACAGATTTTGGAGAGTAATGATTTGTTTGCCATCTGTTCATTGCCTTTGAGAGCTCCTCAAATAACAAACCACAATGGCTGTCAATGCTGTTTGGGATCTGTTGAAGCACTTACCCATGTATAAAGTGCAACCTCAATCCACTGGCTGGAGCTCTTTCCCTTTTCTTCATAGCCATGGCACGATGCTTCTCCTTACACTGCTCTTTAAGCTGAGGTAGATCTTCTTTGTAAACCTGGACCAAAAAACTTCATCATAAAACTCCCCAAACACACAACTGAGGCAAACTTTCTAAGTGCTGCCCCTCCTCTTTATAGATTTATCACTAAGAAAACTGCTGATGGCTAAGAAACAGAACTGCCAACGTGAGCAGTGAGAAATCCATTAGGAAAATGAACAGCGACATAGTAGACTGAGCAGCAACATGCAAAGAAAAAAAAACAAGAAAAAGTAGACTCAATTTGCATTAGTAAAATGGTGCTTTGCTTATATAATCCAGCACGTATTTTAGCAGCAAAGCCATTGCCATTTTTCAAAAGATCAGTTTGTTCTGTCAGTTCATTTAAATGAACTAGTTTGATGATTTCTTCAGTTAGCAATTTACCGTTTTTTTTACAGAAATATTTAATCGTCCCTTTGTTTTATATTTTAACATTAGAGCAATTTATGTTTTTATTAGGTTTTTTTTATAGTGTAAACTTGTCCTTGTTTATTTGTCCTAATTTTATAACTGCTCAGAGTGCAACAAAAACATCTACTAATTGAAATACTTAACCTAAGCATACTTTTAAAAAGAGTACTTGTTACAGAAATTATATACTTAAGTGCGAACTGAATGTAATGCTTTCTGACATACAGACAGACAGACAGACAGACAGACAGACAGATAGACAGATAGACAGATAGATAGATAGATAGATAGATAGATAGATAGATAGATAGATAGATAGATAGATAGATAGATAGATAGATTGATTCACACCTTGAGGAGCTATATGAAGAGTTTCTTTTGACTTCCTTTCGGGAACAAACTTCCACTGGAACACTGAATGATCGGCTCCACCAATAGTAATCACCCACTGATAATCATGTGACCATCTGACATTGGTTATGTGTGCTGAATGCCCTAAATATTTTTTAAACTTAGCACCTAGAGATGTAAAAAAGGCAGACTGGGTAAGCATAAATAATGACAGAATGTCATTAACAAAAATGAGACCAAGAGTAAAAGAGGACCCACCTTTTCTTACACATGGGTACCGAAATAATTTAACTAATCCATAATCGTCTGCTGTCACTAAAACTTGACTATTGAAGTTGGCATCTACAGAGTTGATGTCATTGATATCAGAGTATTTAGGCCAGATCCCGTTCACCTCCGGCCCGAGGACACAAGTCCATGAAGACCACTGGACAAGCTTCAGTTCTTCCCTGTTGGTCACTTCCTTACCACCTAAACACAAACAATACCAAAATCAGTCGAAATGATATTATCCAATCCGAGGCATAAATACAAGCAATAATTCCTGAGAGTACAGAGCTCTTACTGGGCATCCTGTAGAAGAGCCGCCGACCATTGCCGTCATTGGTCTGTAGATACTTGCTGTCAGTGGACCAATCCATGTGTGTGATGAAGCTACTGGAGCCCACGCATTCGCCCGCCTTCTTGTATCGCTGCACAACGCCGTAGATGTCCACCGAGTTATCATTAGAGCCCACGGCTAGGTGCGCTCCATCAGGGGAGTACTTCAGTTCATGGATGGCCTCTTTACGGTCCTTAATGTGGACCACCTCCGTCATGTCCCTGCAAAATGAGTACAGGTCTAACCGATTTGCATATTTTACTTATTTTAGGTTGCTCTGGACCAGGGATACTCAAACTGCATAGCTCAGGGGTCACTTTTAGAAAGTGCAGAGTGACCAGGGGCCTTTGAGTAAAATCATCTGGTAATAGTAATAGATGCTTGATTTTGGTGAATACTTGAGTGTTTTTTAAAATGTGCAGTAACCAACAATTAGTAACCAACTGTCTTAGACCAGCCTTATTTTAATAACCTTATTCATCAAATAATTGCCTTTTAGTTTTTACAGTTGAAGTCAAAATTTACATAAACCTTTCAGAATCTGCAAAATGTTAATTATTTTACCAAAATAAGAGGGATCATACAAAATGCATGTTATTTTTTATTTAGTACTGACCTGAATAAGATTTCACATAAAAGATATTTACATATAGTCCACAAGAGAAAATAGTTGAATTTATAAAAATTACCCTGTTTAAAAGTTTACATACACTTGATTCTTAATACTTGTTTACCTGAATGATCCACAGCTGTTTTTTTGTTTTGTTTTGTTTAGTGATAGTTGTTAATAAATCCCTTGTTTGTCCTGAACAGTTAAACTGCCTGCTGTTCTTCAGAAAAATCCTTCAGGTCCCACAAATTCTTTGGTTTTGCAGCATTTTTGTGTATTTGTACCCTTTCCAACAATGGCTGTATTATTTTGGGATCCATATTTTCACACTGAGGACAACTGAGGGATTCAAAGGGTTCAAATTCTCACTGATGCTCCCGAAGGAAAAACCATGCATTAAGAGCTTTTTGAACAGAATGAAGATAACAAACTTTTGAACAAGAATGAAGATATGTAAATTTTTCTTATTTTGCCTAAATATCATATGTTTTCATTTAGTACTGCCCTTCAGAAGCTACAGAAGATACTTACATGTTTCCCAGAAGGCAAAATAAGTTAAATTTACCCTTATCTTCATACATGATTTTTCCTTTTGGAGCATCAGTGAGCGTTTGAGTTGCATGTGAGTCCCTCGGTTGTCCTCAGTGTGAAAATATGGATCTCAAAACCATACAGTCATTGTTGGAAAGGGTTCAAATACACAAAAATGCTGGAAAACTAATATTTAAGCCCATAAATAAATGATGTAAGCCCATAAAAATACTAAAACTTAAACTAAAATTAAAATGAAAAGGGAAAATATAAAAATGCAATTACTATTATAGTATTTATTAATCAAAATATGAATAAATGTTATGAAAATAAATAAATAACATTAAAGGGTCATGAAACCCCAGACTACGTTTTCTGAGATTTTAGCAGAGGTGTTCATGTTGCACATCATAGAAGACAATGTTAGCATCCGATAATTTTAACTGTTGGAGAAAACTGGTTAATTTTAAGCTTTTTTGCGCTATTTTCATCTTCCGGGTTTAAAATCTACATTGTGTTGACGTCACAATTTGTGACGTGGCAATGGACTAATAGTACATCGTGACGCGTCTGTGTCTATTCAATTATTCATGAGACTGTGTGTTCTTATCCTATGAGAAGACGCTTCGCTTAATTATTCACATCAGCATGTGTTGATTTGCTATGACAGACGTTTCAGACTGTGAGATCGCACACATTAACTGAGAGAAATGTTCATGGATCGAAGAAGAGTGTCTGTTTTTGCTTTGTAATAAGAGTTCGGCACAAACGCGATTCATTCACTTGGTGAGCATAACCGTTTTTACAGCTCTGTGACACAACCCGTCAAAAGGCTGATATAAAAACCACAGAATAAGCCTTAAAAGTTCTGAGAGGTGCAACAGCTCGTTCATATATATGTTTTCGATGCAGAGCGCAAATGGCTATGCATTTATTTGTGTTTTTAACTCAATGGGAGTGAAATTAAACTGAATGCGAAGCTGTGTGTGTTGTCTGTCTCCCCTCTTCACCCTCCACTCCACTGTGCACCACGTCCACTTTTTTAGCGTTTTTTTAAAACTGTGGTGAAAACTAACCATTCCTCTATATACAGTATATGACATAATTTCCTGTTTTTTTCCTCCATGTTGTTTGCTGCACATGGCAAGCAGTTTTCAAATATTAATAAGCAGTGAAGCAGTTTTGATAAGCTTGTGGTAGGCTAAATTTGACAGGTATCCCTGCTCTAGACAGTCTGTTCTGCTGTGTTTTGCCTGAGTGCATCACCTGACTCTCAGCACTGTGAAGGATCCGTCTTTCATGCCCAGAGCGAGGTGGATTCCGTCCGTACTAACAGCAGCACAGCGTATAGGCTCCTCCATGTTGCAACGTGCTATTAGCGCATGATCTACAAGACTCCAGATCCTCCCATTCAAAAAGAAAAAGAGGAAATAATAACCCATAAAGATACACAAATTAGTGCACTAAATATTAAAGATCATGTTCTTAATAGCCTTCATCTAATCTGAGGTTAATACACTCACTGAGGAAATCTATTGCTCAGAGGTTTCTTTACAGCTCATGACACATGAAGTGTGTAATGTCAATTACTGTAAATTTTCCATGCCACTAGCATGTACAAACGGAACTGCATAAGTAATCCCTTGTGAAAAGCAAATGTGCCTTAGTGAAAAAATAAATAAATATGCTAAAATGTATTTAAAATTTTATGCTAAGTATACTACAAATACATTTATATATTTATGTACTTAATAAAAATACCCTGCAATTGTACTTTTAACTGGTAATTTGGGTAATTTTGTACTTCAATTGCGTACAAAATAGTGCTGAAGTCCAACTAAAGATATACTAAAGTATATTTGATTGTGCTGAAGTGGAACTATTGCAAGTATACTTCAGGTACACTTTAAATATCTTGCATTTAAAGTCCAATATTATTCAAAGATGATACAATCCTCATCAATAGTGATATTAAAACACATTTTAGGCTTAATGTTAAGAAATGTGCATTGTGCACGAGTACTACTCCCAATAAAGTTTAATTATATTTTTTATATTACTAGGTCTCGAGCAATCTGTCAGTAAATATGTTAATAGATTTGAAATACAGAGTTCTGGAATGAAACTCAAATTGATGAAATTCAATCTGACCTAATGATATCAATATCACATAGTACAGCCGATTGGTTCTCTCCTGTATCGGTAGCCAATAAGCTCTCTGCTCAACATTCAAATATATGAATAGTGATTGCTGTAGCAGTTTGCAGCGTGCTTCAGAAACAGTGAAATCAACATCTAAGATAAGTGAATTCTCTTCTAATCCATATCGCTGTGTGTATTGCGTGGTATGCCTAATTTAAATTAAAAATGAGCAACCATAATCAAGTTTAAACTAAGAGTCATGTTAGCAGTTTACATGAGCGAAATATTAAGCATATTAGCAGCAGCATTTAGCATCTGTGTTTATACAGCTGGAGCAAAACGCAGTTTAGAGCATATGTAATCGCTCTGAGGACATGCCGATAGTAACGGACATGAAACAGGTTAAATGAAATAAGCATTCTTGTGTATGCATTTCAACGGGGGTTCGCCATATACATCAGCGTTATCTCAATGTTCATGTTCATTAATTCTAAGGTCGATGTTTTTCATTGAGATGAGTGTGTGGTTGATTTCAGCTGCACGCAACGTCAGAAGCACGCACTTATCGCAGTCATATCAATGACAGTGTTGCGGGAGAAGGGAAATATCACTGAAGATCACTATCTACGGCTGTTATAGTCCTGAGTGAAATGCATTATTGGTATTGTAGTTTGGAGATATGTGCTCTCGTTGTGCTGTGTAGTTCAGAAAACGGAAAAAGAACATTTATATTCTGCTTTTATTTCAGTTAATTCAGGTCAGTTCACCCAGGGGTTTTTGCGCACTGTACCTTTGACAACTTTTATCTGCACGAGAGAGTAAAATGGCATGCATGTCTTATCTATCGGATTGCAACGTATATCCATTTTGTTAATTAACATTACACATAGTGCACATCTAATTAGAGTTAAGCCAGTCGGCGTGGTAGCTCAGGCACACATAGTCATAGGCCACTATTGTTAAGCCGGTCGGCATGATAGCCAAGGCTCACATAGCCATAGGCCACTATTGTTAAGCCTGTCGGCATGGTAGCCAAGGCTCACATATTCATAGGCCACTAGCATTAAGCCGGTCGGCGTGGTAGCCCAGGTACACATAGATAGTAATACATGTGGTTCGGAGCAGCAGCAGTACATATGTCTTGGCGATAGATCTGCTTGTTGTTGCTTGTATGTAACGTTGTTTACATCCAGCGCTTCCGTGTTCTACATCCGAACGCCGGCTCATTATTGGCCAAAGCTGCACATGTGAGCAGCGCAACGCATGCGTGTGATGCTGATGCAGGAGCCGTCCAATAATGAGCCAGCATTCTGACATAGAACCTGGAAGCGCTGGACGTAAACAGCGTATGAGAATGACACAGAAGAGAAGAGGCTGTTGAATAAAGTCGTTATTTTTGTTTTGTTTTTGCGCACAAAAAGTATTCTCGCCGCTTCATAAAATTATTGTAGAACCACTGTAGTCACGTTGACTGTTTTAATGACGTCTTTAGTACCTTTATTGATCTTGAGAGTTTGGGTGGCATTGCTGTCAATGGAGCCATCGGATTTGATCAAAAATATCTTAATTTGTGTTCTGAAGATGAACGAAGGTCTTAGGGGTGTGGAACGACATGAGGGTGAGTAATTAATGACAGAATTTTCATTTTTGGGTGAACTAACCCTTTAAGTGTATTGTTCTAAGGTACATTACTTCAGTAATAAGTACTGTTTTTAAAAGTATGCTTTTTTTAAGTGCACTTCTTTTTCACAAGGGATCTCAGTTTGTTCTTCTTTTATTCTATTTTCTATATTAGAGAAACAACTGAGCCATTAAAGAGATCTTTTGTAATTCTAAGTGATTCACATGTGGTATTACAGTAGTTTGTTTTTGGCTCTTACCGAACAGAGCGGTCGTCGCTACCGGTCATGGCGAGAGGTTTGGTAGGATGAACCGCCAAGGCCCACAGCTCGCCCTCACAGTGACCCTGCATGATGAGGAAGGGCTTGGTGCGATCGTGCACCACCACCTCAAAAATCTCACTGTCCTGCGTGCCCACCAGAATGTGATCCCCTCTCCAACACACGCTACGCACTGACAGGCCTGCACAGATCCACCACATAAACACTTAGTAAGCAAATGAAGGAGACTGTGGAAGCAAACAGACATGATCCTGAAACATACTGAACGATGTACACTGTAGACTGTCAAGGATGGAGAGGGTGCTTGGGTGCTTGATAATACATATAGACATCTGGGATCGGTGACAAACAGGGGTAAGAGCTATGGATATAACACAGGGTGGACAGCCTGCATAAAGAACACTGACCACTACAACGCACCTCTTGAATTTTCACCTCTAGCTACTGATGAGTCAGAGGAAAAAAAAGTAAAAGAAGAAAAGAGATACAGCTCCGTTAGAGACAAAAGACTTTTGCATTGTGGGATCCTGAGTATTTAACAACAAAAGATAAGTGGCAACTTAATGGATTAAACAAAATAAATGTCAGTGTAGAGTAATGCATTCTGGGAGTCTGCGACTCACCCTTATATCCCTGGTCTGTTTCCCTGAGGTCAATAACGGTGATGGGTTTGAAGTTCAGGTCCCATAATCGGATGCACCCATCCCTGCCTCCTGTGGCAAAGCCTTCTTCACATGCATTCATGCTGAAAATACCAGACTACACACACACACACACACACACACACACACACACAGGAGCTCTGAGAGGCTGAATGTCTCTGACAACTAAAACAATCAGAGAATCTGAAGTCTCAAACTTCAACCACAGCAATGGCACTAAGGGTCAAATAAAGTTGAAAAAGATTTGCAGATCTTAAAGGGTCCACATCAATGAAAAAAACTGTCCTCACTATTTGGAAATATTACAATTTATTGCACTACATAAACAGACTGTAACTAGTAGAATTCAAAACTTCTTCCCAGCTAAAAAAAAATAGCTTCTATTGAAAATAAGTATATATATATATATAAATGTTAAATATACAGGGAAAATATATATAAAATATTATGAGCAGACTTTAGGTTACATTAAATATATGATAAGAAACTTTTAAATAAAATATGAATAACATTTTACCTAAAGGAATATTGTTGGTTAATTGTAAATTTGAATTCATAAAAATTACTAATTAACAGACATTAAAGGGGTCATGAACTGAGAAATCAAAATTCCCATGATCTTTTTGACTGTTTCAGAGCTCAAAACTTTCTTGTTAGTCTAAAAACAGTTCATATTGAAGCCAGTCTGGAATGTTCTACTCTATGATGTAATAGTGTGGATAAGCACCGCCTCCACAGAAGAAGATCAATGCCTGCTTCTACATCACTGTCTGTTTAGCCCCGCCCACCGAGTCACGCATGTAGTGTTAATAACGAGCGAGGCAAACACAGGTCTACGCAGAAACCAAGCAATAAAGATGCTTCGAAGACAACAAGATGCTGTGCAGTGGTGTCAAGCTTTGGAAAAACAGTCTTTGGATTGCCTTCCTTCTGATATCAATGTTAGGAAAGAGTGGATGAACTTTATTTTTAATGAAGTTTCAGATCACGTCAGTAAGAACTCAGTCCTTTGTTCACTTCATTTTATCACAGATTCATTTACAAATAAACGATGGAAGGATTTTCAGAAAGACTGAAACTTAAAGACGATGCTGTGCTGACTATATTAGATCCGACAGTAATGTCGCACCACACGTGTGAGTAACTGTTTTTATTACGTGGTCACTATTGCTTTGTCTTTCATTACAGATCATTTGATATATTTAGTATTTATGTGTTTTTAACCAAAATCACAGCAGCGTCCATCTGTGAAGTACGTAGGCTGTCAAACATACACAAGTGTTAGCCAATCACAGCAGTGAGCGTTAACTTCCAAGTCTACAATCCACCCCTATTCAAACAGAGCGTTCTGATGAGGGGGTCAAAACAAGGACAGAACATAGCCTGTTACTTCTAAATTATGATGTTCTTTGAGGTAAAAATCTTGATAACAATTATAAGGGGACCTCAGAGACTGGTACATAATAATAAAAATTCATGACCCCTTTAATTATTACATTGGCAAAAGCAATATTTGCATAAATCACAGAGTACTAAAGCCATATTATCTTTCAATATTCATCACAAAACTGTTATGCTAGGCGAGCCATTTTATAGATCAAACTCAATTTATAAATCACTGTAAGCAGATATCTAGGTGACTCGGGACAGAGGTCATTCTAGTGACACTGTGGAAAACGTTCCCTCACTTACCCCGTGAGCCCCTTGAACTGTCCGCATTAAACTGACTCCCTTCCAGACATAGATGTCTCCGTTCAAGGCACCTGAATATGTGATCTCGTCTCTCGCACAGGCCAGACAGAGGATAGTCTGAAGGTCTCCAGTCTTCCCAAACATGCCACGCTTAGGGGTCAGAGCGTTCCCACAAAGACTCCAAAACTGAGGGCAATTGAGAGTCAGTATGAATCAACAACGTGTGAATTTCATAAACATACATTCGGCAGATTTACTGACAGCTTGCGCCAGTGCAAACCCTCTTTTGGCAGTAAAAAAAAAAAAACTACTGTCAGAATTTACAAAAAAAATAAAAAGCAGTCAAACATTAGTGACGATCTTTAATTTGTGCATTGTCAGTAGATCAATAATAAAACTTTTCACTCCCATCTGTGCTTTTATGAGAATGATAATTTGCCCTGTTAAGTAAATCTGGCCCTTGGTCTAATAATATAGTAGTACTTCCTGTTGCACATAATTTAGGTTTGAAACATGATTCATAAGATTTTTTGATTTATTATGGAATTCAGTGACCACGCAGTAATATATCATGTAAAGATTTGTATACCTGACAGTTGCGGTTTCCTGCTAAATGTATTATAGCAAATAGCCTATTGAAAGGCCTTACTGAATAAATTGTGTGACAGCTTAATATTGCGAAAGCACAGCAGCATACATAAAGGTGCACTTCTGTTCACAAGCTCGATAAATTTCCTTGCAATCGTTGAGAACACTCACACACGCAAGCTCACAAACATACTAATGCTAACACTCGTTAAACAGATCATTAAAATGCACAGGCATGATCTTAGTTCAGAACAAACCCAGAAAGCTCCCACAGCCAGCACATACTAATTGGCTCATTGACTCTGATTCAGCTGTGTGTGTGTGTGTGTATACTGGTATATATGGTTTATGAGGACACAAATGTATATAATGACATGGGTACTACAACATAAACATGGTTTATGAGGACACTTCCTGTGTCCCTGTAAAACAAAAGGCTTAAAAAGCATACAAAACGGTGTTTTATGAAATTCAAAAATTGCCAGTAGTTTTCTGTAAGGGGTAGGTTTAGGTGCAGGGTTGATGTAGGGCGACAGAAAATACAGTTTGTACAGTATAAAAACCATTACGCCTATGGAGAGTCCCCCGTAAACCACAAATGCAAGTATGTGTGTGTGTCTCCTCGGAGCTCTATTTCATGAGGCTCTATTTCATCTATTTAAACCTTTCCTCAACAGCCTCCTGTAAGAAAACCTGAGCTGTCAAAGACAAGATTCTGAATTGTATATTGCCAATGTCATAACATTTGATATTAAATATTTAGGTTATATACACTCATTGTGAATAGTTCACCCAAAACTGAAAATTATGTCATTATATATTTAGGCATGATCCAAATCAATATAACTAAGTTCCTTTCATGGAACAGGAAATGTCATTTTAAATTAAATGAAAAATGACATTTTAACTATGACAGTGGGGCTTCAGAAGACTAATAAAGCACACTGTATGAATACATAGAATATAGCCATTTTTTGTTAAAAATAAGTATACTTTTGAGAAGAATACTTATTATGGAAAAAATACACTAAATGAATACACTTGTTAGGAGTATGAACTTTAGTGTTGTCTTTTTCTGTTACGGCTGCCTGTTCCTGTTTTTCCTTATATGGTTTTGTTCCTGTTCAGTTTAGCTCTTGAGTTAATTTGCTCGTTAGTCATTATTAGTTAACTTCCATGTTAATGCAAAGAAAGAAGGAGTAACTTTTATTCTTGCTGTAGAATTGTTGCCGCCGCCCTCATGTCGTGAAGGCACTGTGTGATTCGTTGTGAAAGCGAAACTACTTTGTTTGGCCTTCCAAAAGAGGATGATATCCGCTTCGTCATGCCTATAGCCTAGAGCTGATCCGTGCTGGTTGCTGAGGAAATACAACAACTTTGCGCTGTGGATCGCTGGATGGGCTTTCACCGTGGACTCAGCGGAGTCCAGCCGCCGCTCACTCTAGGCTGCCATGTGTGACGCTGTTTCGTTGTGAAAGCAAAACTACTTTGTTTGGCCTTCCAAAAATGGACACGACTAGAAATCAGTTGAAAACACTTCAACCCAAATGTTCAGATGTGTGCAGCACATTTTATGGAGCACGTTTCCTGATCCTGGTAGAGTAGACTACAATGCCGACTGTTCTGACTCACCAACTGCAAGTACGTTTTTTATATTTAAAGAATTTGCCACTGATGATTCAAACACAAGTTTTGGGCAGTGTAGAGTAGGGCACATACGTAACATTTCCGTCACACGCTTGAGGTATTCGGCCAATCTCAATGCACTGGATAGCTGGCCAATCACAGCACACCTTGCTTTTCAGACCGATGAGCTTTTTAAAAATCGACGCGTTTCAGAAAGGCGGGGCATAGAGGAGAAACAATAATGTACAGTATGTGGAACATAATGTGTTTTTTGAACCTTAAACCACATAAATGCATTTCATTACACCAAATACACAAAATAATGTTTTTTTTGGCAACATCATATGACCCCTATGACTGGGGTCTGAGACCCCTAAAGTCTCCTTTCTGTTCAGTTTACTGCGGTAATTGTTTTGTGTTGCGTGTGTTTCTGCTACCCAGAGTTTTTTTCTTCCCTGTATTCGTGTGGATTATAATTAAAGACATTTTGTGGATTATCTTCATCTTCATCGCCTTCCTTGCAGGAACTGTAACAGAATAACTGACCCACACAAAAGATGAGGCTAGAACTGGCCTCAATTGACATACCCCCGAAGGGCAGTGTTCATAGCCCTTCAGGGGCTACAATCTTAATTTTTCAAGATGGACATGACCTGGAGGAATATGTGCTGGAGTTTTTGGACAATTGCCATCTCGCCACATGTGATGACCTCACCTTAATGGAGGGATTCTGGTGCGGGCTGGAAGACGAGATCCGCTTTGTCATGCCCAGAGCTGATTCGGGCTGTTCGCTAATTAACTACATCAACTTTGCGCTGTGGATCGCCGGATCAGCATTCACCGTGGACGAAGCGGAGCCCAGACCAGGGTCATCACATGTGAGTGCCAACAGCCCAGAGTCATCACCTATCACGACAGCTAACCCAAAGCCCAGTCAACTACCACCCCGCGGCGCAGAGCTGCATGAGCCCACTGCAGACAGAGAGCCAGAGCCTGCCGTGGTCAGCAATCGCCATCAGGAGCGACAGAGCTGATGATCGCCCCGGAGCCAGAGCCCCTAGAGTCTGACCAGGTGCAAGAGCCGACAGCACAAGCAACGGTGGAAATAGCTGTGGAGATCAGGGGAGCAAAGGAAAGCCCCACCCACAGCACCACTGCTGAGGTTGGGCAAGAAATGGACTTGGGAGATTTAATAGACTGGAATACGGAGTTGTTGTCTGCTCTATCATTCTGGCAAGAAATCCCACCAAACCTCCCTCTCCTGCCTCCTCTCACTGATCTGTTCCCTTCCTCAACGCTCATTCTGCTGGATCCTGTCAGCCCCTCTGCTCACCATCTGTGGCGTGGGCTTGCCGCGGGTCTGCCCAGCTCCATTGGTGTCAAGTCTGGAGGCTCCCTCGGCTCCGCCTCCAGCCTCAGAGGCCCAGACTCCGCCTCAGTTCTGCGACCCAGCGGCCCCACCATCACTTAAAGCTCCCTCGTCTCCCCCGGAGCCCATCAAGTCTACCAGCTTCGCCGGGCTCCCTCTTCCCTTCGGCTCCGCCTTGATCAGTCATCACCATACCTCCACATTGGGACTGCACTCCTCTCCTTCCCTCCAGCTCCACCTCAGTCCTCTGTCGCTCCAGCTCCGCCGCGGCCTTCTGAATCTCCGCCTACGCTTCGGTCGCCGAAGCCACCTGCTCCACCTTGGCCCTCCGGATCCTCTGCTTTGCCCTGGCTTGTCGGCTCTCCCTCTCCACCTCGGGCTCCACCACCACCTGCTCCACCGCCATCAGTCAGCCCCCTGGAGTCGTCAGCACTTCCTCCACCATGGCTCCTCCCTCCGTCGGCTCCACCGTGGGCCGCCATTATGGCTGCGGTCTGGGTCCTGTCTGGCTCCTCCTTCTCCAGCTCCCTATCATCTTCCTGGCTCCTCCCTCCCTCTGCTCCTCCCTGGTACCTTCCATCTCCAAAATGGCTCATCCCACCGTCATCGCCACCTTGGTCGTCTGCCTGCCTTCCTGTCTGCCCTTCTACCAGCCCTTTGCCACCCTTTCGTCCTCCTTCCACAACCCCTCCCGCCTTCCTTGGTTCCTCCTGCTACGGCGCGAGGTCACGCCTTCTGGGGAGGGGGAGTACTGTTAGGAGTATGAACTTTTTAGTGTTGTCTTTATCTGTTACGTCTGCCTGTTCCTGTTTTTCCTTATATGGTTTTGTTCCTGTTCAGTTTAGCTCTTGAGTTAATTTGCTCGTTAGTCATTATTAGATAACTCCCATCACCTTTTTGCCCCTCGTCAGCTGCCCTATTTAAAGTCTCCTTTCTGGTCAGTTTACTGTCGGTTATTATTTCGTGTTGTATGTGTTTCTGCTACCCAGAGTTATTTCCTTTCCTGTATTCACGTGGATTATAATTAAAGACATTTTGTGGATTATCTTCGTCTTCATCACCTTCCTTGGAGGAACTGTAACAACACTTAAGTGCAAACTAAATTTAATGTTTTCGGACTCTTAATTGCATGTTAATTGCAAATGTATTATATTTTAAATTCATATTAAATGCAATTAGCTAAACTTTAGAGTGCTTTTTGGGACCACATGAGTTGGACTTAGGTTAATCTTTATATGTCATTTTATAATTACTTCTATTGTCTTTGAAATATAGTTAAAGTGTACTGCCAGAATGTAATTTTTTATCGAATTTATTCTAAACTAAAATGCACTTTAATGTAATTTTTATGAAACTTGTATGTAATGTATTTAAATATCAATAATTCTACATTTGTAATGATAAAGTTGCAATTTAGTACGTCTGAAATATATTAACTTTAAATGTAATATTGAATAACTATGGAAGCCTGTTTCCACCACTAAATAAAAAATAAAACAAGGTAATTGCGACTTTGTATCTCACAATTCTGACTTTTTCCTTGCAATTGCAAGTTTACATCTCACAATTCTGACTTTATATATAATATAAAAACAAATGTGCA